TTGGGTAGATACTATTGGAGGAGAGATAACAGTTCAGTTATCTATAATTTTCAATGGTTCTCTAAATGAGATGATTGTTTTTAATGAAACTTGTCGTTACTCATTAGCTGGTTTCTGAACACTGGCAAGTCATTTCACTGGATGACTTCGGTGGCTTCATACTGAAGACCAGATGGCCGGAAAGAATAAGCAATACACCGTAGTCCAGCAGTGAACTATGGCACGACACTTTGGCGTTCTGAACGATGGGTTCTGGGTTTGTGTCTCAGTGTTTGAAATACCGCAACTCACTGGGAATGGAGGTACATCCAAACAGGATGAGACGTCCACCGTGGATTCCACTCCCAGTCACCACTACCAACCAAGTAATCTATAAACACTTTAACACTTTTACTAGTTGCAATGACGCTCTTTCACATTCATTGTCAAGTTTTTATTCGTTTTAACCACTTTTAAACGGTGACTGCCTTTTTCTCTCTTTTCAAAAGTTTTAATGTATTACTTGTTCATGTTGTTGTTGTAGCAAACATGTACAACATGTGTGCGTACGGGCATTTGACACGTGTACACACACAGAAAGACGCACACCCTTCGAAACACAGACTTATAGGCTTTATTATTCTTATACACTCAAGTGACTACTTTTTTTCCAATAGTATTATTCCTGACTCATGGAAAAATATCAAGGTTGTTCCAGTGCCCAAATAAACAAGTGGACCTACTGTTAAGTTTCGACCGATTACTATTATCTCACCTTTTTTAAAAATATGGAAAGACTTATTTTACTTAATCTTGAACCCTCTTTAAAGCCTTTTAATGACCCCAACCAGTTTGCCTATAAACATAGTAGGTGTACCTTAGATGCCGCTGTAGTTCTATATCATAATATAGTCTCTAGTTTAGATAGAGGAGCCAAATATGTTCGGTGTGCCTTCCTTGATTACACATCTGCATTTGACTCTGTACCTAGGTCTCTCTTGTTAAGTAAGCTTGCTGCAACACAGAGTGAGAGCTGGACAAATAAGTGGTTGTATTCCTACCTTTCTGATAGGAAGCAGGACACTGTCTACAATGGAAAGTCCTCCACTACACTACCTCACTTACTTTAGCTGGTGTTCCTCAAGGTGCTGTTCTTTCTCCTTTTCTGTTTTCTTTTTTCTTACATGACTTGCCACATTCTGATGTAACCACTTTTGTCAAGTACGCTGATGACCTCTCTGTCTCCATGCCTGTCAACTCTCAGTCAGACTGTTCCATATTAAATAACTTCCTCTCGGAAATTAGTCAGTGGTCCTCTTCAAACGGTCTTAAGCTGAATCCGTCTAAATATCAGGTAGTCAATTTCACTTTCAGAAGAAAAAGTGACCTACAGCAACTAGCTAGCTCACATGGTCCCACTATCATTGACGGCATAGAGGTTGAAACTACATATGATGTCAAGTACCTTGGACTGAGTATTTCCTCCGATCTTTCCTGGTCCTCTCACATCTTGCTAGTTACTAGGAAGATGTTTCACTTAACGTTCTACGTTAGGAAGTTAAGGCAGTCTGGTATAAAGCAGTCTTTGCTTTCTCAGTTCGTAAATTCTTGTATTCTACCCATCCCACTTTACTGCTCCCCATTAATCTTTCCTGGACTACTTAAGAAAGATTTTGTTTTGCTGAGAAGGGCACTAAAAGCTGTCAGTAGGGGAAGTGGGATTTCGTCAAACCAACTGGTTAACACTATTGTAGATAGACATAATGTTATGTAAGAAACTAGTGAAAACAATATATTGTCAGACCCCAAGCATCCTCTCTATACGCAGCTCTCTCCTTTCATTTCATCTGGTAGAACTAGAAGCAACTATAAGAGGCTATATGCTAGGACTACCAAGTACAAAAACTCCACAATACCTTATCTGACACAGCTGTTATGTAATGAGAAATCCGTTAGAGGTATGACACGATCGACTTAATGCGGCACTCTAACAAATAGTTCTCATTAGCTTTTGTTCTCCTTTCTTTGTTACTATTATATTGTTGCTCACATATTCTATTGCACACTAATTTTATATTTCATATCCTGTGGTGCATTGTTTAGAATGTGAATGCAATGCTGCTCTTTTTTATTTTTTTATTTTTATTTTTTTTGTTGTTGCTGCTTTTACTTTTTAAAATCTTATAAAATTTATGAGGTAATTAGATGCATTATTGTAATGCACGCTGAAAATTCCATACCTGTATCACAAATCCTGCTTGGAATAAAGCCATTATTATTATTATCAGAGAGCTGAACTGCTATAATCATATTCTATTATCTTTTTTTGTTGTTTAATATGAATGTCTGACAATCATTCTTGCAATTAAAAGTGTTCTCCGAGGTGATTGGTTTAGTTGAGGAGCTTTCGTCGTCCACCTGCTGGACAATATCTCCCTTCAGCGCAATATTTATCACAAAGTGAAATGATTTAAATTTCTTCATGAGTGATAGAATTGCGTACGTCTCCTGGTAACCATCTTTACATATGTATTGACCATTTTCTATTGACTAGAATTTTAAACTTTCTCGTCACATGATTTACTTTTTATTAGTTGGTATATTTCGTCTATTTAATTAACGTGTTTGTTAATCGCATTTTCGTTTGAGTACCAGGCTTCTAGGAATTCCCTGACTGAACTTTTGGTGTTCCCTCTGTCCAAGATTTCGACATTATCCTAATCAAATTGATGACCATAATTGTCTATATGCATTGATACTAAAGAATATATTTCGTGTCTTTTCACGGCTGATTTGTGTTCTTGGATTCTAATTCGAAGGGGACGCCCACTTTGGCCGATGTAATGCTTGTTACAGTTCATACAATTTATTTTGTAAATGGTATTAATTTTATCCCCTTTTTCTGTTGCATCTTTCGGTTTGCATAATATCGAATTGAGTGACTAAACTGGTTTGCGTGCTATATCTATGTCAAACGGTTTCAGTATTCTGGCTGTTATTTGAGAGATATTTTTCATGTATGGTAGGATGAATTTTCTTGTGGTCTTTGATGATGGTTCTTTGTTGGTGTTTTGATTCGACTTTCAACACTTTTTGATGAAATTTTGTGGATAACCTTTCTTTTTGAAGACCTTGTGTAGGTATTTTTCTTCCATTCTTCTCAACTCTGGCGTGCTACAATGTGTTTGAACTCTCTTTTAAACAATGTCTGCACACAGTTTCGTTTGTGAGTAATTGGATTGTTGCTAGTATAGTTGAGTATTTGATCTGACTGACAGACTGCCAAGATATTTGACTGTTATAAATAACAGTAATACATTGACAATTAGCCCCGTCATAGCCGTCATGTAACGAATAGTCAGTACCTTAGATAAAAATTGGGAACTATAATTCATGTGACTAAACAGTATATAGTATCAACTTGTGGATGAGACTCACAGACTTCTTGGATGCCTTTTAAGAACTTGATCCCGTTGTGTATTGTCATAATACCAAGGTTGACTAGTGGAAGTTCACCTGTGCGACGACAGTGTAAAATGTTTTGCCGTATCGGGCGGGGATTTAAGCGGTAGAATGCTTGCCAACCAAGCCCGCCGGTGAGCTCACAAATCTTGTCTAGTCTGGAAAGGAGGGAAGGCTGGTCGTGATGACAGCCATTCTACTTGGTAATAAACGACAACCTCCCTACTGAAACAAAATACTGGATCAGTCCTACATTTTAACAGTGAATATATTTAATTGGCAGTAACCAATGAATGGACTTTGAAATTCCATTAGATTCCTCATAATTGTCTGCAGCAGTTGATGAGACAAGTACACAGGACTGATAATATGCTATTCTGAAAACTTCACCGAAACTCTTCACAACTGCGAATGTGTCGGGTCTAACCTCGCCTTCAGGAAAGGAAAACAACGTTGTTCAGTGTTCAGTTGGATTAAATTTTTGATAGATTTCCTGAATCGATTAACATAAAGTCTGTCGGGAATTACAAACCCATAATCTACATACATAATATTGCGCTGAAGGGAGATATTGTCCAGCAGGGGGACGATGAAATCTCCACAACTAAACCAACCAGCTCAGAGAACGCTATTAATTGCAAATCATCCACCTGAGCTACAAGTCTTCTCTATTAGTCAGAATTTAAATTGTACAAATATCGATTGTCTATAGTTTAATCAAATAACTAACCAATCGGATCTCAGCAAGTTGACTGCCCCTCACTAAATGACCCAATGTTCCACTTTACAATTACACTACCATAATTCCTCGTTTTTAACTATTGTAATTATATGCGTGTATTTACACTTCTACTAACTTGCTTGTTCCAATGTGCACATTTCCCATAACAAACAGTGAGTTTTCTTGAAATTAGCAGTATTACATTACGAGAAATCTACTAGGAATTTATCAAATATTCATAATTGTCGATCACCATTCGCGTGAGGATTCATAAAACTTAACAAACGTTGAGTATGAAAACACACAGACAAAATTGACAACTCAGCAGAGTACAGTAATCAATCAGTGCATCTTTATTATTATTATTCTTTTTTGATTTAACAATCGTTAATTCAAACAAAAACATTAGTGTAAAATACTATTAACGCTAAAAATCAACTATTCAACAAAAAAGAAAAATGGAATGAAAAGAAACAATTACAAGACAGTCGTTGAGAAATTCTAACAAACAGGAAGCCTAAAAAACAATTGAATTTTCATTTTGTAACATAATTGATCACATTGAAAGTGATTGAGAAAAAAAACAAGATATTTTTGTTTTACTAGCCTAATTTCTGCTTTTCACATCAAGTGACCTTGAGTCTATGTAAACAGATTTACCAGTGAATAGCGGGAGTACGAAGATTTAAAATATATTTGTGGGGTTTGTCTCTCTCTGATTTCGTTGTCTAGTTGAACTGTCATTTCAAGGTTGCGGAAACACATTTGAATAAAGGTGATTTTGACACTGTTCATAGAATTTTTCAAATAATTCCGCATTATTCATAAATTATTGTGTTTGTGAAGTTTTATATGTTTTCGTGTGTGTGTGTGTATGTGTGTATAGAAATGAATCAAAAATATTTATTCAAATCCAACAATATCTTCTTCTAGGTGAATAAATCTACAAAAGACACATTTTTAAAGAAAAAATTTATTACCGTGCAGTATTTATTTGGTACACATAAATTATCACATTTGTTTTAGGTTATTAGTGTATTTCCGTATTGATTGGTTTATATTTTATACTTAAATGCTGAGTCTGTTTACACATTTCGGCTCCTAGTATGGATACTTCTACTATGGCTTTTCGATTTATTATTATTATTATTATTATTGTATCCTTTAATTCCTACAGGAACATAGGGCTTCAGCCGTGCGTCTCCATTGCGTTCTGTTCTCTGCTAGAGTCTTCACCTGGCTCCAAGTCTGCCCACACGTTCCCATCTCCTCTTCACATGACCTCCTCCAAGTCACCCTTCGACGACCAACTCGCCGCTTCCCTTTCGGGTAACATTTACATAGTTACCTAAAACTCTTATTTTTGTGGAATATCTTGCCAAAAAGTTGCAAAATACTATTGCATTTATTTGCCTTTGAAACACTGAATCTTGGATATAATACTTTTGATAGATAATACCTATAACTATCTATTTGCCACTCTGTGCTTGTTTAACACTAACTAATATCTATAATTGTATATATTGATGGATTTACATGTTCAAGTTGGTTTAAGTCAGTGAGTCTATGATTTTGGTATCATTTTGGTTAACTGTAATTGACTGTGATATTATTATTGTTCATGAATAATTCCCATTCGGACATTAGTAGACAAAAGTCAAGTAGATCAGCAAAGAGTCTCTTTTCGGCGAATTCATTTTCAAAGCTGTACAATTGCAAATATATATGGTTATTTTGTGTGTGTGTGTGTATACATTAAATTTGTCAAACAAAATACTGTTAGTAAGTTCAAATGAGTTGGATGTTGATAAGAGGATAGCAACAAAAGTGATGAGTTGTCAAAAACGATTGTTAAAGAGGAGTAAGTTCAGGTGAATTGAATGTTCATATAAGAGGGTAGTAACAAAAGTGATGAGTTGTCATAAATGATTGTTAAATAAGAGTTACGCAATGGCAAGAATAGTTTGATGAATGAGTTGTACTCAAAGGGTGAGCATGGAAACAAAATAATATACAGAAAGCAAGTTAGAAAAATAAGCATACAAACAAAAGTAAGGTCAAATCAAACAAATAAAGAAGAGTTGGGTCAAATCAACGGAGTTGTTATTGTTATTATTGTTGTTGTCGATTGTTACCCTTCTTGTTGTGAATTATTTTCCTGTGCTGGTGTTGTTCTGATTGTTTTATTTCTTGTTTTCCTGGTTTTAACGGGAGCAACCCACAAGGTCGCTTCTCTCTAAACTATAATTTCATGTAACAGTCCCCTTCTCAGGCGTGAGATTAGCAACCCCACCCTGTAAACAAAGTTGATACAGAAACTTCTGCACGATGAATCTACTTGCACCAAAAGATTAACACGATGTTATCTAAATGTTGGTGGCTAGCAATGGGATACAAGAAGAGCTGTCACGTTTGAAACAATGGGTGTCACGTTCAATTTTCAGTCGGAAGCCTACCCTGCCGGATGAAATACGCATCCTAGTTTCCATCACTAGTCACTGTTTATCAGATAATACAAAATATTAGGACCTGAGCAAATGACCTGACAGATGACATCTACAAGTTACTGGAAATTTTCCCGTTTTAACCCCTCAATCCAAATCACGTTGTCCACGAAGTAATCTGCAAATCAACCTCAAATTAAATTCTTAAACCAAGGTAAAACAACACATTGATCAAGGTAATATTGTGGTGAGAGCTGTTTGCAAGCCAACATTGTAGACAAAAGTTTACGTCAGTGTTTACTTCCCGAATCGGGATCATGAGAAAAAGCTTAACCCTGGGGGAGTCACCAACCAATCACATTAGACTTGAAGTGTGCAAATACGATTCGCGGATATATGGCCTGATTTTCTAAGAAACAGACAAAAAGAGATGACAGGAATAAACCTTAGCAAGAAAACAACCAATCAGAAGACGTTGATTCTCTGCTAACAATAACGAATAATAGTGTATATAAATATCTAATTGTCACACGAAATCGAAGACTTACAAGCGAAAACCGACCGACAAACTGGTCGAAGAAGCAGCCAGAGAAGACAGGACTCCAGGTGAACAAAGACAAGACCGAGGTTATGAAAATAACCAACCAACAACAACAGCAGAAACATCCAACGCCAATCACCATCAACGGGAGGGATTTGAAAGAGGTTACTTCATTCACTTATCTAGGGAGGGAGCATTGTCTCAACTACACGAGGAACGGAACTACGAGGATGTCAAATCGAGAATCGGGAAGGCCAGAAACACATTCATCAACCTGAAACCAATCTGGAAATCTTCCGCTGTCACTGAACTCAGCCTGCATCAACAACAAAATGATTCGGATTTTCAATACAAACGACGTCAAGTCAGTCAGTCAGTTCTTCTATACGGATGGATCAGAAACTTGACGGTGGGTCACAAAGAATATTTCCAACAGCCTGTTGCAGACCTTTATCAACAACTGTCCTCGCTCTGTACTACTGAAGATCAGATGGCCGCCGGAAAGAACAAGAACCAACAAGAAACTATGGGAAGAAACAAAACAAGAACCAATCGCCCAACAAATATGCAGGAGAAAGAAGTGGAGATGGATTGGACACTCGCTGAGGAGGCGGCTGGGTGACATTGCGCGTCAGGCCATAGCTCGAGTGGAACCCGAAAGGGAAGCGCCGATTGGGACGTCAGTGCAAGGGTGACATGGAGGAGATCGTGTGAAAAGGAGTTGAAACAGTATGGAATAACATGGACGCAGGTGAAAGGTACAGCAGAAGACAGAAGCACGTGGAGGCGTGCAGTTGAAGCCCTATGTTCCACTAGGAACCCAAGGGAAAAAAAATAATAATAAATATCTAATGATTTTCTTAATAAACGATCTTTTGCCTGGCCCTTGTCTTCGGTCATTACAATATAACGTCATTATGTTTCCTTAATTCTCTTCAACTGCATACTAGCGTAAATAGCTTTTAATATCAATATCCACTATTTTGACAGATGCTAGTGTTTAGATGATTGAAATCGAACGTATGCATTCAGGAAGAAACTCTTGTTAATCTCACCTTACCATGGCAAATATACTTTACTTTATTTGAATTATGTTTTGACAATGTAATTTTGTAGCCGAAATTTTGTTTTCCTTTATAATTTTGACTGGCCTATTTAGTGCCTTCTCTTGAAGTAAATTGTCTAACCACTACCTACAATGTTCACTTTGCAATATTCGTTCATAACAAGAGGATACTCCTGTAATTATTTCTGTAGCAGCAGAAGACAAGGGCCAGGCGACAGATCATCCATATGCTAACTGTATCCGCCTACGCAAAGCTTTTGTTCTCATTTTCTCACCACCAATATTGGGGACATAAACACTGACGTCAATTACTGTCTACCAACTTTGGCTAGCAGCCAGCTCTCACTACATTTCTACTAATGTATTAGTGACATTATTGTCTTCCACCTTAACTAACATATTTGAATATTTTCTGTACATGAATATTCAAATCATTTCAAATTGTATGCAGCTGAGAAGAACTAAAAAGGATTGAAGTGATATAATTAATTTCATCCCGCTCAATGTGTTTTTGTTGAACTATTCGATTTCCTGTAAGGGGGATAACCAGTATGAAGGGTATTTAGAATTGTGTTAGTCACAGTCAAATTTGGTACTAGGCTTCATATTTATAGTATGGCTCAGAAATGAGTGCTAGATTTCAGTGACTTTTTACTCATACGTACTATTCAAAGAACTTATTTTTATTCATGAATAATCCTGTCAGTTTTAACTTCACAGTAGGTTCCTACTACTTTTTGCATTTTCACTCGAACTACTTAAATAAAATTAAGTAACATAATGATGTTCCCTCTATTTTCCACGTTAATGGTTTGGCTTGCCATACTCACAGCCTTTTCGTTGCTGGTGCTTCATCCTAATGCTTCTAATCCTCCTATACTTCAATTCTTCATGTCTTTCTCACTTCTCTGGCACTTTCAATATTTGATGTTTGTTCCCTTCTTCTTATGCATATTTGTCGACGAATGTTTTCGATACGTTAGTGTCAGATAAACAACCAACAGATTTCCCCACAATGAGAAAGATGCCACACTAATCAACCCATGCTGCTGCGTAATTAACTCCCGTTACACATTTTCTTATTATTTTTATGGTTATTACGCTTGTAAACACATCATCCTTTCTCTTTATTGGCATGAATCTGTTTGAATCAATGTTCCGATATTATTGTGTGGGACACTTCTACAAATGTATACCAATTCGCTTCAAAAAATACAGTCTGTTGGGAGACTGACATACGTCTACTATTAGTGACTTTATTCGTGCAAAAATTCGGAGATCATAATAAATCGATAGTTGTGTGAAAATTAGGCAACTCACCTTTTGTTACTAATATCTTCAAAAATTACAGGAATGTTTGTATTTTTCTTTTTAAATACTCTATTTTTCAACTTCTCCAACTTCATCAGTTTCGTCACCGCCATCATCATTATCGAATGTAGTTGGACTTGGATGGACTGAATTATCCTTCCCATCATTACTCATATAAGTTGGTGACACACTGACGTTTAGCTCATCACCACTGGACTTCTCAACTGTCCAATTATTCTCTGATTTATTCACTTTCAAATCTGAAGTTACTTCTAAAAAACATCAAAAAAAGAATAGGGATAAACAGACATGTATTCATTGCAAGTTAACATCAGTTTGAGACATGAATACTGTCTGTGTTAGTCTAAGTTAGAGAACCATTGAAATCCAGAGTGAATAAGTGCAGGATGATGTTTAATATTATTATTATTGTTCCCTTGGGTTCCTAGTCGAACATAGGGCTTCAACTACAAGTCTCCACTTGCTTCTCTCTTCTTCTGTACTTTTTACCTGCATCGATTTTAGTCCATACTGTTTCAACTCCTCTTCACACGATCTCCTCCATGTCACCCTCGCTCTGACGTCTCACTCACCGTTTCCCTTTCGGGTTCCACTCGAGCACTGGCCTGACGCCTCCTCAGCGAGTGTCCGATCCATCTCCACTTTCTCCTGCGTATTTGTTGGGCAATTGATTCTTGTTTTGTTTGTTCCCATATTTTCTTGTTGGTTCTTGTTCTTTCCGGCCATCTGATCTTCAGTATAGAACCAGCGAAGACAGTTGTTGATAAAGGTGTGCAACAGGCTGTTGGAAATATTCCTTGTGACCCGCCGCCAACAAGTTTCTGATCCATCCGTATAGAAGAACTGACTGACTGACTTGACGTTTGTTTGTATTGAAAATCCGAATCATTTTGTTGTTGATGCAGGCTGAGTTGAGTGACAGCGGAAGATTTCCAGATTGGTTTCAGGTTGATGAATGTGTTTCTGGCCTTCCTGATTCTCGATTTGACATCCTCGTCCGTTCCGTGTGCCTGTAGTTGAGATAATGCTCCCTCCCTAGATAAGTAAATGAGGTAACCTCTTTCAAATCCCTCGCGTTGATGGTGATTTGTGCTGGGTGTTGCTGTTGTTGTTGGTTGGTTGGTTATCTTCATAACCTCCGTCTTGTCTATGTTCACCTGCAGTCAAATGCAGGACGAAGTTCCCGGAATTTTTAATGAGAAGTCGTATCCAGTGAGGTCTAATAAGTTGTGTGTGTGTGAGGAGGATAGGTAATCATGGATGACATTGTCTGGTAGTGCCTCTGTCTGTCGTGAATTGGCAGAAGTTAGAATCCATGAGCCGTCAGATGCCTCTACACTGGCCGAAGAGTCAATGAACTGACGATCCTGATTTCAGTACCTGGTGATGTCATGATTCCATACTATATTGAAGTGTCTCATACTAGGACGAGAAACAGTTGTCTAGTTCTCTAAAGTTGTTTTTTACAATGGTCCTTTTATTCAAGTTAGTTTTTGAATAAACTTGATATCGACCAAATTTCTACTAACAAACAGTAGAAAATATACTACTTTAGGTGGAGCAGAATAATCTCTATGCGTACATAAGTGGACACTTAGGAATAAATTTATATTGTCGCAACCTGTCCACCAAAAACATACACTAACCACCATCATTGGGAGAAATTACAAAAGATGTCACCTGTTCTTCCACTTGTCTGGAGGATCAATGTTTCCATGAAATGCAGGATTGCGGAGGCAAGGCAGGAGTTTATCACCTTAAAATCTGTGTAGAGATCCACAGCACTCCACACAAGGGACAGTATCCGTACCTCTGAAAATGTCAAGTCAGTCAGTGGTTCTATATGAATCAGAGAGTTTGTGTGCCTGTCTTTCGAAACATTTCAAAAGAGCCACTAAAGAATTTGTTCAAACATCTGCCTTCTTTTAAAACTGAAATTCAGGTGGACAAGCAGAAAAGATAAATAACTAGAAACTACGGTAGCAGGCAAACCAACCACCATGGATGGATCAGACATGCTCTGAAGAGACATGCAAGTGAAATCACAAGATATGACGTTGATTGGACCTCTTTCGGTAAGCGAGGAGATGAGCGTGATTCCGAGGGTGACATGGAGGAGCAGAAGAGATCAAGAGAAAATGGTAGTTTTTGGGTATCCCTCGAGCTAATTGAAAGTGATGGCAGAGAAATGTGTGCAGCGGCAGTGTGTTGCTGGATCCTTACGCTCCACTTGGAATGCATGGAATGTACTACGATGAAGACAATAGAACTCATATTGCTAGAACGAAGAATCTTGGCAGAAATGCAAACTGTAGTCGGATTATATTTCTCATCCTTCATTTTCTGTCCTCTGTAATATACCTCAACAGAACTGTTAGGTTGAGTAGCGTGAGAAACAGAATTATTACTGAGGATATGGAAATAACATACTCAGTGTAAATACACGGAAGACAGTCAATAGGATACTTGTCAGTGGGCACACAGTAAGGGTTCAGTTTACGAGATGTGACTGTAGTTAGAAGGTTGTTCATCATAATTATCACCACTGTTATTGTTAATATCCCCTTGAGGAGTTTCGAGTGGAACAAAGGGCTTCATCAACACACAACCATTTCACTCAGTTCGATGCAGTCCTTATCATATAACTTCAGGATTGCCTATAAACGTTTATTTCTTCATCGCACGATCTCCTCCTCCATGTCACCCTTTAACTAGTGTCAAATTCATCGTTTCCATTTTGAGTACTACTTGAGCGCCTGAAATGTGATTTCACTTAACAGTCTCCTCAGCGTTTTTCCAGTTCATCTCTTTTTACTTCAGCTCAAATCTTGGTCGATACATTGTCGGTCACTTCTTTCGGACCATCTGATCATCGATATCAAGCCGCCAATGCAGGTGTTGATGGAAGCTTTGTAGTAGCCTGTTGGAAATGCCTTCAATCTTTTAAGCGCAAAGTCTAAGAATCGCATAGAGAAGTACTAATTGACTTAGTGAATTAGTGTGGAAAGTGTTCGTCTTGCATTGAGTTCTGCAGTTCTCCAAAGCAATTTCAAAGTGATGTAGGTGTGGTATGATAAGGTGAGCAATATTGAGGTTAGGCCATCGGTCGAGTGCTAGTTGGTAAGGAGGGGAAATCAGTCAACGAGACTGTGAAATTACATCGACTGAGATGGTTAGGACATGTGTTACGTGTGCATGCTTAGTCATCGCCTTCCTCGACAATGGGCAATGTTAGCTGATATAGAATTGGTCAGACTGGAAAAGAGCTAGTGGCGGTCAAACCAAAACATGGCACCAGTCAATGAAATCCACAACAGTTAGTTTAAGTCAGCCACGTAGGAAGGTGTAGACTTCCTGACTGGTTGGGGTCCTCGGGACGGTAAAATCCAATGGTTGGAAACAATTGGTGATATGGCTCAAAGTGATCGTTCTCAATGGCTGGTGCAGATACATCCACTCCTTGTGACTCATGATTTCCAATTAAACTGTTTTGTTCTTCGTTTTACTATACCTTTGTCTTACACCTCTGTTTACTGTCTCTAATATGCATTTCTCCTACTTTGTTCTCTTGCTTTGTGTGCTACATGGAGGGAGTGTGTCGACTTGAACTGCCGGACATATGTGCAAAGTTCTATGTTGAAAACCGACCGGCCGAATGTAGGTGTGTTTCACTTTTCTGATCATGGTTAACTTTGATATTCTCTGCCATCTCTGCCATCTGCTTGTAGACGATTGGACGATGTTCACTAGATAAGAGAAATAGGCGATTTTGCTTCAAATTTCTCGCGTTGACTGATGCTTATTGTTATTTGGTACAGCATCTTCATTACCACTCTTTTATGTGTGCATTTTAGGTTGTTCAATATTCGCTGCCTCTTTCTCCAACCTCTTGGTTGTTACTTCTACATTTTGGAATTCTGTGAGACGGGAGCCATCAGATGAATAGACAGCCAAAATATATATTCAACATCCAATGTTCCTTATCATCAATAATCGAAATTTTGTCCATCCATGTGATGATTAATGTTCACTCTGACAAAGGTTTAAACCTGTTCTATAAATATATCATTGATATAAGAATAAAACGTGTGCACTATGGTAGAGTGTAATTCCATTATGGGTAAATTTTATTTTGATAAAGTCTCACAGTGTTATACAGTAATGTTTACTGATGACGTTTCGAGCACAATTTATTGCTCATCATCATATCAAGGTAATCACACGACTTTCTAAATTCATTTATATAGTTCCGTTGTTTTTCACTTGATTTGATTGGTAGTAATATTTTCCATATTTCAGGTATGAGTAATGAATTATTCCTATTGCATGTGTTGGATGCAGATTCGATGAACCAGGATTCAGTAATCAACCTCTCTCTCCACCTACCTAGATTACTTTTTAGAATTTTAACCCTCTCCCACCCTATTGTGTGGTTGTGTGTTAATGTATGCATTGCAATTGTTGAGCTTTTTTCTAAATTACTTATCTTCTCTGGGTCAACCATTATTACCTTAGCTAAATTCTTATGTTCTGACAATCTGACTACCCCTGACCTACTAGTCTGACCTATGTAGTTGACTTAACTCACAGTCATTGCAGGGTATTTTGTAAATTATACGATTTTGTTTAATTGGGTCCACTGGGTCCTTTAACCTACACAGCTTGTCCCTGAGTGAGTTTGTAGGTTTAAATGCCACCACCTTAATTCCTGCTTTATTTGGAATCCTACGTAGGGTCTCAGATGTCCCCTCTTTATATGGTATAACTGTAGATGACTTATATTCTCCCTTATTCATGTTATTATTACTAGTTTCACAATTCTTTTTCTTTTTCTTTTGGCCTTTTTCAATCTTCCTAATGAATTTTAAAGGATAGTTATTTAAAACCAACGCCCCTTCTATCTGTTTTATTTCATCATTTAGGTCTTGTTCTATGAATATAAACTGAGAATATATTTAAGTGTTCAATGCGTCTGCATTCTACTGTCACTATTTTCATAACCAAATGTATTTCAAAGACTATCTTTCTACACTACTGAGAGAGTTGTATCACAGTAGAACACATACCAATTCCTCTTGCATTTATTATTAACAGTTTCAAAAGGTTAATAATCATCCAATAAATAACATTGAACAATTTTCTTACTGCTCAACAATGACTTACCTTCCACACTGCCAGTATTCGGCACCACAATTACAGCATAACCATTAGGCTTCACAGTGACATGATCACTAACTGATTTCGAGTTTGGTTGAACTGGCTGGATTTTCTTTAAACGTTGATTAGGCGGTAGTTGTGTGGAACCGACGATTAACTGAGGTAGCTGATCAACTCTGGTTGGACTTGACTGGCTCACTTGAAATTCTTCTGAATTCACACGTTTTAAGCGTTGTGGTGATTGACTTTTCTCGCGTTTCTCTGATCCAATGAATTTATAGGCAACCTTTATTTTTGTTGGTATCATGAAGTGAAATAAAGCGAAATGAAAGGAAATACAGAGAGGAAATAACGTAGAAACATTTTGCAGTGAAAACTTCTTTTTATTCCTTCACGTTCCCAGTGGAACATAGGGTTTCAAGCTAGAGGCTTGAAGTTTCTGTAGCAGTGCTTATTTTCACAGGATAGGGTTGCTAGCCTCATGCCCAACCTTTCCTCTTCATCAGCTTTATTACTGACTTAGCGAGGTAAAGGATTGCGTCGGCCGGGTATCGAACCCCGGACCTTGTGCATGGTCGGCGACCTTCCTAACCGCTATGCCACCGACGCACAGTGAAAACTTTGCTCGGAGTTAACTGAACGAATAAAGAACTAGATTTCGATGAGACTTCAGTCGCTTTCATTCATTGTATGTCTTCCTTAGAAAATCATTAAATAAACATGTAGTACTGTGGTGAGAGCTGTCTACTAGCCAAATTGGTAGACAGTAATTTACGTCAATGTTTACGTTCTCAAGATTTGTCGTGAGAAAATATGAACAAAGACTGATTCAAAACTGACCACAGCAGACTTTGCGTAGGCGGATACAGTTAACATATAGATGATCTGACATTCAAGAAACAGTCACAAGAGATGAAAGATTAACTTTAAGTGAGAAACAACCAATCAGAAGACTGTGTTTGTTTGCTTAAATATCCATAGTAATGTACATGAAATCTATAAATATGCTTTGATTTCCTTAATAAACGATCTGTTGCCTGGCCCTTGTCTTCTGTTGTTACAGTATGAGTAATCGAAAATCCATCGATGGCTCGGTTTGTTTACCTTTGTGTGAATTCACAAGTCATTCATTTGGTGTATATGTGAGTGTAAGATCAATTCAATTCCCATCCTTGAATCAAGTCAACCTGTCCCGGATCAGCCTAGTGTTGTTGCAATCCAATTATCCATGCCTAACATGTCTATCCCCCCTTATTTAATGAACTGTGTGTGTGTGTGTGCGTTTACATCGATCCGTTTAGTCAGACCGTTGAACTCATGACCCAATCAGAGTATTTTTGTGAACTGTTATTTTGCTAACCCATTTCTTATTTTGTACTATTCTGTCGAGTTTATCTTATTTATTGATCTTCATCTGTATCAGCCTACCTGGTTAAGTAGCCAATTAAATTCTATCTTTGTGCCTATGCTCTGTCTATCTCTTAACCGCTCTCTGTTCTATACCCTGCCTTACTTGGGTTCATTCTTCTACTGACTGCTTACCTGAACGGTCGTGTCTGATTCCGGCTAGTTCGCAATTTTGGCTTTAACGTTATTCCGCTCTGATAGCGGTACCTTGCTTTCTGTTAAGCGTTGTGCTTTGTACTCTTGAAACCGTTAAGGTTTGTTGTATATATATAATTATTGATTTGTCTATTAATAGTACCGTAGAAACAGTGACCGGCTTCTTGTTTGTTCTGGACCGGGATAGCCTTTATCTACGCGTGACTTAATTTCAAGCGATATTGCGCTTACAGTGAGTGAGTGAGGCGTATGCATGATGTTGCCTGTTTAGTTAGCACAACCAACTATAAAGTTAGTTGATTGTTGTGCACTCAAACTTTGATCGACCAATATCCACAACCTGAGCTGTGAAACGGTCTCAATAAAATAATCTCGAATAGTACAAGCTGGGTGAGGGTATATCGTTGAAAGGTTATTGAAATTAAAAATAATCTTAAAGCTCGCATTGATTTCCCAATTCGCAAAAATAACACTATCCACTCTGCATTAGGCATTTCTTGTTATTCCATTGTTGTCTGTTAGCGACTTGATTCTCCTTACCGCTATCATCTTTTTTTGGCGTTTCTTCTTCAGTCACTTTTATAATGACATATAAATTATCTTATAATCTGTTAGAAAACCACTAAAGGAGATGGAATACTGAACGGATGTTTCGTCCTAGTTAAAGAGTCGTCATCAAAGTGTGCTCATCACCACGCTACCGAGGACAACAGTCACGAATTTCAAGTTATGAGATGAGGTTAGGGCGTGTAGTACTGTCAAGGTCTATAAACAACATATAGAAGATACATCACAGAAAACGTGTAAGCAAGACAAAGAAACACGATGCGGAAGACAGAAGTACCACAATACCGAAGATAAGTATTTGTTGTGATTCCAACCTATGGTAGACGTATGTAGGCTAATATCTGTACATAGAGTTGCTAATCAACAATTCCGTTGCCAAATGCGCTTGTGTTTTGTCATTACTCATGCAGCCAGGTGAGGGCTTACGGCGAGTTGTCATCTGAAGTGGTGACGACTAGTGGCGTCCATCAAGGATGCCCATTATCCCCATTTCTATTCAACTTCATCATAGACGTACTAATGGACTTAAACCTAACTCACTTCAGAGACTCAGGGATTGACTTGCTACTAGGGAATAATCTCGTTGACTTAGAATATGTAGACGATATAGTTCTTCTAGGCGTGGACGCTGACAAAATCTAGCAGAGTCTTCTGAACACCTTGAGCTGCAGTCTTCGTATGTTTGGCATGAGATTCGCCCCTGTAAAATGTAAGATGATGTTGCGGGATTGGACCTACACGGATCTATTTAGGGAATTGCATCAGCCCTAACGGACTGATTGTTGACTAAATCTCAGCACGAATACAGAGGGATAGTTTCGCATATGCCAGTTTACGCCGTCTCTGGCGTAGACGTGATATCTGGTTGGCTATCGACCAAAGGGCGTGTGTACTGCTCATCAGTCCGCTCCGTCCTCCTTTATGGCTAGCTGTGAAACCTGGCCATTGAGAGTGGAAGACATGAAAAGATTAGCTGTCTTTGATCATAGGTGTCTGCGTTCTATCTCCCGTGTGAAGTGGTATAATAAGGTGAGAAATATTGAGGTTAGGCTTCGGTCGAGTGCTAGTTGGTAAGGAAGGGAAATCAATCGACTAGGCTGTGAAATTGCATCGACTGAGATGGTTAGGACATGTGTTACGTATGCATGCCTAACCATCGCCTTCCTCGACAATAGGCAATGTTAGCTGATATAGGGTCAGGCTGGAAAAGAGCTAGCCAGCGGCGGTCAAACCAAAACATGGCCTCATCAGTCAATGAAATCTACAACAGTTAGTCTAAGCCAGCCACGTAGGAAGGTGTAGACTTCCTGACTGGTTGGGGTCCTCGGGACGGTAAAAACCAATGAAGGCTGGAAACAATTGGTGACATGGCTCAAAATCGTTCTCAATGGCTGGCTGGCGCAGATGCATCCACTCCTTGTGACTGACTTATGATTTCCAATGAAACTGTTTTGTTCTTCGTTATTACTACTCCTTTGTCTCACACCTCTGTTTACTGTCTCTAGTATGCATTTCTCCTACTTTCTTCTCTTGCTTTGTGTGCTACAAGGAGGGAGGGTGTTGACTTGAACTGGCGCACATATGTGCAAAGTTCTATGTCGAAAACAGAGACAGAGAGAATCTGTCATTAGAAGTGTGCTGACTTATTCCAAACTCCCATCACCTCGCGAATTATAGCAACGCCACTAGCAAGTGTCATCAGCAAGTATTACTTCACAAATAAGACCTTTTGGACATCATTAGTCATGATCCTAGGTTTGGTCATGGTTTTGTGCTGTTAAAAATTTCCCAGACTAGGACGAAACTGCTGTCCAGTAGTGGCACCTGGTTTCCAATGGTTCACTAATCCACCATCAAAATCGAAACCAAATAATTCCCTGAAAAAAATCAGCACTTGAAAGTACAAATAACCATTACTACTTCCTTGAAGAGGTTGCTCTGTATAATACTTATATTTACACATAAGTAAGACACACGAAGATCTCATGAATTAACTGTCTGTAATGATATCAAATGTTTGCTTAAATAGCATCCACCGACAATTATACATCTCATCCAACAGCTGTACGACAATGCTGCATGCCAAGTAATCCACAACGGGAAACTTACGGAATCATTCGAAGTGAGGACAGGAGTAAGACAAGCTGGCTGCCTACTATCGCCAATGATTTTCCTGATTGCAGTAGACTGGATAATGCGACGAACAGCGGCGGGCAATGAGGAAACAGGCATCAAATGGACTCATACACAAAAAACTTGGAGGATCTGGACTTCGCCGATGATATATGTCTGATTTCTCACAAACTGGAAGATATGCAAGCGAAAAGCAACAAGTTGGCAGAACAAACATCCAGAGAAGATGGAAGGACTTCATGTGAACGTAGAGAAAACAGAGGTAGGTGATGAAGATTCCTGGCCAACATCACCAACAGCAAAAACAACAACAACAGACACCAATCAGCCAACATAAATGGAAGGAACCTGAAAGAAACAACCTGTTTTACCTACCTACCGACATGGGAAGCATCGTTTCAACTACAGGCAGACTGAATTAACCAGGATAACAAAGCGAGGATCGGGAAAGCAAGACAAGCTTTCAATACTCTCAAGTCTGTGTGGAGGTCAACAGCACTCAGCATCAAAACTAAGATCAGGATTTTCAACTCCAATGTGAAGTCAGTCAGTGCTACTTAACATACGGATCAGAGACTTGGACTGTGCGTCATAAAGAGCATCTCAAACAAACTACACACCTTCATTAACAGCTAGCTGTCTTCGCTCAATACGACTCAAGATCAGATGGCGGGCCGGCCAGAAAAGATCAGCAACAGAGAGGGATCTCTGGCAATGAGCGAACCAACACAGCAGGAACCAACCGATTGTGAAACAAATAGGCAGGAAGAAATGGAGATGGATGGATTGGCTGGCCATACTCTGAGGAAGCAAACCATCAAGTGAGTGACATCACTAGACAAGCCATTGCTCGAGTGGAACCCGACAGAAAGGGAAGCGGCGGCGAGTTGGTCGTCAGTACACGGGTGAGGTGACTTGTAGGAGGTCATGTGAAGAGGAGATGGAAACCTGTGGCTTTCATCAGGAACTCAATACCATTTAGAGAACTGTTGACGAAATCCCCCTTGAAATGGAAACGACATGAACTTCATAGAATTCCGATGAGAATTTGTGATTGGTGAGATGCAATAAATCCTGTGTCAGGGGAGGGGGAGATACTTGCCAAGGATATTGAATGACAGAAAGATTACATCGAGGCTATTTCAATAATTCACAGGTTTGAAAATACATGGGCTAAACAGTTTTGACAGCTATTCAAACATTATTCTTGTAATTCAAATAATTTTTCTATCTGTGATGTTGGTTGTCTACCGCCTGCGCTTATCAGGGTTTAATAGTTCAGTTGTTTGCAATTAATAGTGTTCTCTGAGCTGGTTGGTTTAGTCGCGGAGCTGTCGTCGTCCTTCTGGACAACATCCCCCTTCAGCGCAATATTTAGCATTAAGTGAAATCATTTAAATTTCTTCATGAGTGATAGAATTGCGTACGTCTCCCGGTAACCATCTTCACATATGTATTCACCATTTTCTATTGACTTGGATTTAAAACTTTCTGGTCACTTGATTTACTTTTTATTGGTTGGTATATTTCGTCTATATTAACGTGTTTGTTAATTGCATTTTCGTTTGAGTACCAACCAGGCTTCTAGGAATTCCCTGACTGCACTTTCGGTGTTTCCTCTGTCTAAGATCTCGACATTATCCCAATCAAATTGATGACCATAATTGTCTATATGCATTGATACTAAAGAATATATTTCGTGTCTTTTCACGGCTGATTTGTGTTCTTGGATTCTAATTCGAAGGGGACGCCCACTTTGGCCGATGTTATGCTTGTTACAGTTCATGCATGCAATTTATTTTGTAAATGGTATTAATTTTATCTCCTTTTTCTTTTGGATGGGTCTTTCGGTTTGCATAATATCGAATTAAGCGACTTGACTGGTTTGTGTGCTATATCTACATCAAACGGTTTCAGTATTCTGGCTGTTATTTCAGAGATATTTATCATGTATGGTAGAATGAATTTTCTTGTGGTCTTTGATGATGGTTTCTTTTTGGTGTTTTGATTCGACTTAAAACACTTTTTGATGAAATTTTGTGGATAACCATTCCTTTTGAAGACCGTTTGTACCTTGCCTGAGGATTCAGAATAAGGGGAATACGTTGTACTGATAAGAAGAGCCTAGAAGATCTGGGCATACAGGATGATTTGTGTCTCTTGTCATACAAAACAGAAGAAGATCTAAAGGCGGAAACCAATAACATGGTGGAATAGGCAGTGAAGACAGGACTTCCAGTGAACATGGATAAGACAAAGGTGATTCGGACACCTAAACAACCATATTAATGGAAGAATTCTAAAGACAGTAGTGTAGTAGTAGATTGTAAAATAAAAAGAATAGAAGAAGGTAAACTTCACACTAGTGCTTATAGGAAACCAACGCATTCAGCCAATAGATATTTAGATTTTAATTCGTCTCATCCGTTAACTGTTAAGGCAGGCTTCGTTAAGTGTCTAACAAACCGAGCCATAACACTAAGTAGCACAAAAAAGACCTAAATGATGAAATAAAACAGATAGAAGAGGCGTTGGTGTTAAATAACTAACTATCATATACAATTCATTAAGAAGATCAAAAAAGGCAAAAGTCAAAATGAAAATAATGGTGAAATTAATAATGACAACATAAATAAGAGAGAATATAAGTCATCCACTGTAATACCACATAAGGAGGGGATATCTGAGGCCCTACGTAGAATTCCTAATATAGCAGGAATTAGGGTGGCATTCTAACCTACAAACTCACTCAGGGACAAGCTCTGTAGGTTGAAGGACCCAGTTGACCCAATTAGACAAAATAATATAATTTACAAAATACCCTGCAATGACTGTGAGTTAAGTCAACTACATAGGTCAAACTAGTAGGTCAGGGGTGGTCAGATTGTCAGAACATAAGAATTTAGCTAAGGTAAGAATGGTTGACCCAGAGAAGATAAGTAATTTAGAAAGAAGCTCAGTAATTGCACTGCATGCATTAACAAGCAACCACACAATAGGTTTGGGTAGGGTTAAAATTCTAAAGAGTAACATAGGTAGGTGAAAAGAGAGGTTGATTACTGAATCCTGGTTCATTAAGTCTACACCCAATACATGCAACAGAAATGGCTCAAGGCAAATACCAGAAATATGGAAGATATTATTACCTCCGGTCAAATCAGAAGAGAATAATAAATAATCTTAATATTCTATTTCAATTCAAACACATCAAAACATTCTAACAAGTAACTTATTATGATTATAGAAACACTCGTCCTTTTTCCCATCTAATTGTAATTTATCAATAACACTCGTATTATTATTTCTGAATGTACATTATGTCATACTGAATTTTATTCCAATAACTAATCGATTCCACACAGGTATATAAATGAAGGAAAGAAGTTTTGTGAGTAACTTGATATGATTATCAGTGGCAATAGTTTGTGCTCGAAACGTGGTCATCAGTGAATAATACTGTATAACACCAATGTGTGATTTATCAAAATAAAATCTTATCCATAATGGAGTTATGCTCAAGTTTTATACTTATATCAAGAGTAGTGTCTTCCAGTTCCATGTACCTAATTGTTCCAGCTACAGGCAACACATAGAAGTATAACAAAACCAGGATGGTAAAAGGAAGACAGACATTCAATACTATGAAATCTCCCGCATTCAGCATAAGAAACATATTCCAAATATTTAAGACGCTCATATCAGGTTAGTCAGCACTTTAAATGGTTCAGAGGCTTGATGCATTCGTCACCGAAAGCATTTCCAACAGCCTGCTACAGACTTTCACCAACACTTTCCTGCCTTTGCTTCATACTGAAGTTCATACATAACCTCCAGAAATAACAAGCAACACAAAAAACTCTAGCACCGAACTAGTCAACAATCTGTTGCCCCCCAAAAAATGTAGTAACAAATTGAAATTGATTGGATATGCTCTGTTATGATCGTTCAAGGACACCACACTCCAAAGCGAATCTCGACTAGAAATCGAGTGGAAGTCAAGTGTAGGCATGAGTCTTAGGGTGACATGGAGGAGGTCGTGTGGGAAGGAAATAAAAGTTTATGGTTGGTATTTTAGTCGAATAAAGAAGACTATACTGAAAGGATACTTATTCCAACTATCAAAGAAATGAGACTTAAGTCAATGCAAGAACTGGTGCGGAATTATGCTCCTGTCCATCCCAAGCAAAATACTAAGCCGCATCATCCTGGAGAGAATCAAACATGCCTTGGATGAAAAACTTCGACCGGAACAGGCTGGATTCAGGAGAAACAATTCATGCATTGATCAGATCGCCACATTATGGATCATCATTGAACAAAGCTTGCAATGGAAGTCACCTCTCTATCTCAACTTCATCGACTTTGAAAAAGCCGTCGACAGGCAGCGTCGATCGAGAGGTGATTTGGAAACTACTCCGCTACTATGGGGTGCAACCGACAATTATACATCTCATCCAACAGCTATACTACAATGCTGCATGACAAGTAATCCACAACGGGAAACTTAGGGAATCCTTCGAAGGAGTGAGGACAGGAGTAAGACAAGCTGGCTGCCTACTATCGCCAATGATATTCCTGATTGCAGCAGATTGGATAATTTGACAGACGGAGAGCGGGCAATGAGGAAACAGGCATGAAATGGACTCACACAAAAAACTTGGAGGATCTGGACTTCGCCGATGATATATTTCTGATTTCCAACAAACTGGAAGATATACAAGTGATGAAAAGCAACAAGTTGACATAAGAAGCATCCAGAGAATATAGGACTTCAGGTGAACATAGAGAAAACAGAGGTGATGAAGATTCCTGACCAACACCACCAACAGCGAAAACAACAACAGACAAAAATCAGCATAAATGGGAGGAACCTGAAGGAAACAACCTCTTTTACCTACAGGCGGAACTGACGAGGATATCAAAGCAAAAATCGGAAGAGCAAGACAAGCTTTCACTACTCTCAAGTCTGTGTGGAGGTCAACAGTCAGCACTCAGCATCAAAATGATAATAAGATCCGGATTTTCAACTCCAATGTGAGTGAAGTCAGTCAGTGCCACTTACTATTCGGATGGATCAGAGACTTGCACTGCGTGTCATAAACAGCATCTCAAACAAACTACACACCTTCATTAACAGCTAGCTGTCTTCGCTCAATACCACTCAAGATGAGATGGCCGGCCGGCCAGAAAAGATCAGCAACAGAGAGGGATCTCTAGCAATGAGCGAACGAACACAGCAGGAACCAACCGATTGTGAAGCAAATAGGCAGGAAGAAATGGAGATTGATTGGCTGGCCATACTCTGAGGAAACAAGCCATCAAGTGAGTGACATCATTAGAAAAGCCATTGGTCGAGTGGAACCAGGCCGAAAGGGAAGCGGCGGCGAGTTGGTCGTCATTGCAAGGGTGGGGTGACTTGGAGGAGGTCATGTGAAGAGGAGATGAAAGTGTGTGGGCAGACTTGGAGCCAAGTGAAGACTGTAGCAGAGAACCGAACGGAATGGAGACGCACGGCTGAAGCCGTACGTTCCTCTAGGAATTAAAGGAAACAATAATTATAATAATAAAACACATGGGTAACACAATTGGAGCTTTGAATGAACTAGCTGAATCGCTATCTATATTACTCCAACACTAAATTAGCATATAAGAATTAACGCGGGGACAGGTGAACATTTGAAGATCAGTAAAAAAAAATATCTCGACCTACCTGTGATTTATTTGCTACTGTATTTACATAACATGCAGATTTTGTAACTGGAGGCAGTTTTTCACCCTTATCAATATCCCTATACATAATATAGTCATCATCTTTTGACATGGCGTGTTGGCGTGTTGGTGAGTCGATACCTCTGGATGTCGGCAGTGGGCCACGTTGACTTTCTTGGATAGGTGAACCACGATAGATATGTCCATCCATACCTTGTAAGTCGAGTGTTTCCCTACGATTAAAATGAAAGAAAAAAGAAGACGATTAGAAGACAATGATTTAATAGAGAGACATGCATGAAAACCTCGGATCTATGCATAGAAGTAATATTAGTTCATGCTGTTATTATAAATACAGTCACAGGAAGAGAAAGGGAAGAAAAAACCTATACTTGTAAAGGTGAAGTGGTGTCCACCCTTAGGTGATACTAATTAGCAGCAAGGCGTCATCACGAATTCAAAAGGTCATTCCTGTCCAAGTGACTGGGTGATAAATTATCTAGCATCCGGTTTCGATGTCTAGGGGGGTCAGGGCTGCGTACTTCCGAAGAGTAAGTCCCTAACTGGGACGAAGTAACTGTATACTGCCTTCAGGTAGTCAGTGCTTTTGTAACTCTTGTTAGTTGGCTATTAAACACCCACACACACACTGGAGTTATTTCAAATGCCTGAAAGACTCATAATATTGAAATAATGATGATACTGTTGATTTCGTGGAGGTTTTCTTCGCAGTTTTTCTAATTAATTAGGCTCCCATCAGTATATTATTATTACTATTGCTTCCTTTAATTCCTAGAGGGACATAGGGCTTCAGCCGTGCGTCTCCATTGCGTTCGATTCTCTCCTACAGTCTTCACCTTGCTCCAAGTCCAACCACACGCTTTCATCTCCTGTTCACATGACCTCCTCCAAGTCACCCCACCCTTGCAATGACGACCAACTCGCCGCCGCTTCCCTTTCGGCCTGGTTCCACTCGACCAATGGCTTTTCTAATGATGTCACTCACTTGATGGCTTGTTTCCTCAGAGTATGGCCAGCCAATCAATCTCCATTTCTTCTTGCCTATTTGCTTCACAATCGGTTGGTTCCTGCTGTGTTCGTTCGCTCATTGCCAGAGATCCCTCTCTGTTGCTGAACTTTTCTGGCCGGCCGGCCACCTCATCTTGAGTGGTATTGAGCGAAGACAGCTAGCTGTTAATGGAGGTGTGTAGTTTGTTTGAGATGCTGTTTATGACACGCAGTGCAAGTCTCTGATCCATCCGTATAGTGAGTAGCACTGACTGACTTCACATTGGAGTTGAAAATCCGGATCTTATCTTCGTTTTGATGCTGAGTGCTGACTGTTGACCTCCACACAGACTTGAGAGTAGTGAAAACTTGTCTTGCTTTTCCGATCGATTTTTGCTTTGATATTCTCGTCAGTTCCGTGTGCCTGTAGTTGAAACGATGCTTCCCAGGTAGGTATAGATTTCTCCCATTTATGGTGATCGTTGTCTGCTGTTGTTGTTTCTGTTGGTGTTGTTGTGCAGGAATCTTCATCACCTCTGTTTTCTCTATGTTCACCTGAAGTCCTATCTTCTCTGAATGCTTCTTGTTTCAACTTGTTGCTTTTCGCTTGCATATCTTCCAGTTTGTTCGAAATCAGACATATATCGCCGGTAGAGCTCCCATTAGTAGAGCACAGTATTTTTTGAAGGATGACTCCGTTACAGACTTGATTTTAATTTAAACTGTAGTGTGACGGTATCCTCCATGAATCCGAAATTCCGCCGAAAATCGTCGGAAATTTTCGATAAACTGAATTATGGCTCAAAATCACAAACAATCATCATCAAAGTTAATAGTGGTGTGTCGGTGGTTCAGTGGGGGAACACTGGAGGCACACTCCTAAGACATCCGGCTTGCCAACTAACTGTAAGCCCGGAAAATAGAGATGAAGTTAATCGCGAGGCCAGTAGCCCCACCGTTAATGAAGCGTCAAACTTTAAAGGCTTTCGTTCTTTTTAGTATGCTAAGCGATTTGATAAGTATCTGAAACCTAATAAGAAAAGAAAGTTATAGATAGATAACATCACTTATTAGTTACTTGAGATTACCTGTAAGTATATTGTATGGAAGACTTCGTAGTATTACCATCATTCTCACGAAATGAGCTGGAAAGAAACACATTTCACAAAATAAAAGACGAATATCATTTAAATGCTGATAAAATTACATGGGTATTAGTTGGAGTAAAAAAAGCGGAAACCAGAGCTCACGGGACATTTATTGCATTCTAATTCAGTTTTATCATTTTGACATTTATAAAAGATACGTAGACGACACTTTCGTTATCTGCGATAGAAATGTAATTCTTGATGATGTCTTGTTTGCTTTCAACAACTGCCATCCTTCTTTACAATTCACCATAGAAAAGGAGTCGGAACTAAGTATTCCCTTTCTTGATGTGTGCCTTAGCAGACGTGATGACGGATCTCTCAAAAGATCTATCCTCTGGAAACGTACATGGAATGGACAACTAACTAATTTTTACAGTTGGGTGCCTATCTCCAGGAAAAGGAACTTAATTCATTCGCTTTGCTATAGAATAAGGAAAATTTGTAGTTCTGATTCCGTTGACTCGGAACTTGATTTCCTAAAAGCCACGCTGGCAGAAAACGGTTACCATAACCGATTTATTGACAGCAACATGAAAGAAAAGCAGTCTAAACTGGTTACCGACACAGTTCCAAAGAAACCCTTATTTATGAACTTGGAATTCAAAGGTGATCAAGATTCAGATATGCTCAAAAATCGTCTCTCCAAATCAGTCAGTAAGACGTTCTATGCAGCAAAATTACATATGACGTTCACTAGCCGCAAGTTGTTCTCTACCTCTATAAACGATAAGCTACCCCGTCTGGCCGCCTCCATGTGCATCTATCAGTTCACCTGCTCCTGTGGAGCAAGGTACATTGGCTGTAGTGAGAGGAAGCTTTCCACACGGATACGAGAACATATTCCAGCATGGTTTCACAAGGGAGAAAGGAAGTGTGTGCGAAGCTCTATTCTGGAACACCTGATCGACTTCTGTCACTCTATCAACCCTGACCATGATTTTAAGATCATATATAGAATCCATGCTAACTTCCCGCGTTTTCTTCGTTACAGACTTCTAAAGACAGCTGAGGCCTTGGCAATTCATGACTTTAAGCCAGACCTTTGTGTACAAAAGAAGTATGTGCAATCCCTACTTCTACCTTGGCCGTCGAGGGATAGACATTTATTTATTTTGTTTATTTAGTTATTCTATGTACTTTTCCCTTATTACTACGATTATTACTAATATTATTATCATTATTATTATTACTATTCTTACTCTGAATCTTTTCACTTGACCCACTTGACATTTCAAACCCGAAATTATTGATTTTTATATTTTTATTTTTACAATATTGAATTATATCTTGTCAGATTTCACACCATGTTATGTAACATTTTATATTCGTCTACTAATCTTATAATTTTGTACCCCTTTCTAAAATTCTAAACACCTTATGTATTATTCTATATACGACATTAATTATTTTGCCACTTGACATTAAACTATGATTATAATCACAAATATTTTAATTGCATTTCATACTACTATTATTATTATTTCATGTATTCACACCTTTGACCTAATTCCCTCACCGATTATAAAAAAACCATATATATACGATTGTACAGCTTGATAATAAATTCGTTGAAAAGAGTCTCTTCGCTGAATATTGTGTTCTTTATCCAGAAGTACTTACTTAAGACTTCACCAAGAGTCAAACTAAACCGTCAGGTTCCGAAGCGAACTTGTAAACCATTCAGCCACAGGGACTGAATCTGATGACTCATGAATTCTAGGTCCAGCCAGTTTGTGATTTATGATTCTGGTAATGTAGTAGGGAGCCATGACCATGGGAATACATTTATATGTTGGTTGTGTGAGCAAATACCCACCAACGATGTTCTCTGACGCTAGTCCTAAATATCACGACTTCATAGAAGCTAGAATCCATGAGTTATTTGATTCTCTCCCAGTGGTTGATTGACCTGAGATTCCCGGTTGGATTCTCAATAAAGTGATGAATGCGTACTGCTGAGGTGCCTCAAACTAGGACGAAACAGGTGTCCTGTACTATCCTCTGCTTCCCAACATCTTATTTCCAACTGACGTCAGTTCGTGTTTTAAATCGTAGTCAATTAAATCCTCACAAACCAACACTTAGTGAAAATTACAACTAATACACGGAACTACTTGCAAGTAGTTAAAAATTAGAAGTAATTTTCAGCATTGTTTAACAGTTACTGCCGTCTGTAGTTTTCCATTAGGTGGATAGTTTCATCCACACAAATCTCATATTCCTTCTAGGCCATCTATTCAGCGTTAACTTCTAATAAAACCAGTGGCGTATAAGTGAATATTCACGACAAAGACATTTAAGGCATCCGGAAGAATCTTAGTGAACACACAGCTCATATCGGTATTCAGTAAGTAGATGTAGATATCTTTGTTTAACTCGGAATAGACTATGTAGGCCTTGAACCCAACTGATCTCTGCATCAGTTCGAAAACTTTGAAGCATATCCATCACCAACATGTGTCCACTAATATTTTATCCTTATCATCTTTAGGATCATTTGCACGGACTATTTGTTCTTTGGGAAAACAAAGTGGGATATTCGGACAAGGTCTGGATTCCGTCATCCATGAAACTTACTATGCACCCCGATATATAATTATGGAAAAAGGCAAAATATGATATATATAATCTGAAAAATCGCACAGGTGATTATGTCCCATCTCATGCTGTGGCCAAAATTATATATATGCGTGTGTGGTCAAACATACATAAAGAGTAGATGTGCTGTTCACGTGAGCCTAAGAGAACATATACTGAAATGGCGTAACAAACAACTGAAGATCAATGGCGAATGAAGTCTTACAGACCTATTTCACCCCGATTCTATGGCAGACCAAAACTAAACAAACTAAATATTCCCTTACGACCAATCGTTTCGCCTCCGGGAGCACCAACATATAATCTATCTAAAAAACTTTTCAGGAAATTAAATTACCTAACGCAGAATCATGAGACCATTCTATCAATTCGTCAATCCAATTTTTAGAGAAAATCAAAAACATTCAAGTAGAAGACAATGAAATAATGGTGTCCTTGCATGATTTCACAGCATTATATACTTCAATTAGTCCAAAACTAGCAACAGAAACTATGCAACAATTACTCTATAGTGATGAAAACACAAAAACGCAATGATCAACTTGGATAGAACTCATAAAATTATGCCTTACAACATACTTCCAATTCAATACTCAAATATCCTCAAACAAACAAATGGAACACCAACGGGATCGCCCATATCAGGATTAATAGCAGAAGCCATTATGCAAAGATTAGAATTAATAGCTCTACCTATAATTAAACCGAAAATCTGGATACGTAACGTACATTTGCAATAATTAAGATAAATGATTTAGAATATACCCATTAATTAATAAACAACATATTTGAAGACATCAAATTCACAAGAGAAGTAGAATTAGATAACAAAATCCCATTTTTAGATGTCTTAATCAGGAGAACCAACACAGGAGATTTAGAAACACAAGTATATAGAAAATCAACGCACATAGATCAAATACTCAACTATACTAGCAGTAATCCAGTTACTCACAAACGAAACTGTGTGCACACATTGTTTAAAAGAGTTCAAACACATTGTAGCACTCCAGAGTTGAAAAGAATGGAAGAAAAATACCCCCACAAACGGTCTTCAAAAAGAATGGTTATCCACAAAATTTCCTCGAAAAGTGTTTAAAATCGAATCACAGCATCAACAAGCAACCATCATCAAAGACCACAAGAAAATTCATTCTACCATACATGAGAAATATCTCTGAAATAACGGCTAGAATACTGAAACCGTTTGATATAGATATAGCACACAAACCAGTCAAATCGCTTAATTCGATATTATGCAAACCAAAAGATCCACACAACAGAAAAAGGAGATAAAATTAATACCATTTACAAAATAAATTGTATGAACTGTGACAAGCATTACATCGGCCAAAGTGGGCGTCCCCTTCGAATTAGAATCCAAGAACACAGATCAGCCGTGAAAAGACACGATATATATTCTTCAGTATCAATGCATATAAACAATTATGGACATCAATTTGATTGGGATAATGTAGAGATCTTAGACAGAGGAAACACCAAAAGTGCAGTCAGGGAATTCCCAGAAGCCTGGTTGGTACTCAAACGAAAATGCAATTAACAAACACGTTAATATAGACGAAATATACCAACTAATAAAAAGTAAATCAGGTGACCGGAAAGTTTAAAATCCAAGTGAATAGAAAATGGTCAATACATATGTAAAGATGTTTACCGGGAGACGTACGCAATTCTATCACCGCTCATGAAGAAATTTAAATCATTTCACTTTATGCTAAATATTGCGCTGAAGGGGGATGTTGTCCAGCAGGGTGACGACGAAAGCTCCGCAGCTAAACCAACCAGCTCAGAAAACACTATTAATTGCAAACAACTGAACTATTAAACCCTGGTAGACAACCAACGTCACCGAAAGAAACATTATTTGTAACACACAAGAATAATGTTGGAACAGCTGTCAAAACTGTTTAGCCCATGTATTTTCAAACCTGTGAATTCGTGAAATAGCCTCGATGTAATCTTTCTGTTATCCAATATCCTTGGCAAGTATCTCCCTCCTGACGCAGGATTTATTGCATCTCAATAATCACAAATTCTCATTGGAATTCTATGAAGTTCATATCTTTTCAATTTCAAGGGGGATTTTGTCAACAGTTCACTAAATGGTATTGGGTTCCTGATGAAGGCCATCATGAAATCAATACTGGAACATAATTTGAATTTTATTTGGGAGAAGTTCAGCAATAGCTTCTCAGGAGTGCGAACGCTCCAGTGACCATGAACGCAGGCTAGTCGTTGGCTAACGGCATCTGTCATTATCATAGCTGAAATATCAACGCTATTCACCCAGACAACATTCTAAAGTACTGTATGGACAATGTGTTAATATCTTGTTAAGGTTGGGATCAGGGTTATAATTAGCATTAGGGTTAGAATTACGGTTTACATAAGGGTTATGACTAGAGTCAGGATTAAGGTTAGGGTTGCGATTAGGGATAGATTTATAGTTAATACCATTTATTTTAATTTGTTTTATTATCCTCATTTTCCTGGTATGTAGTCGTCGATCCTCTTACTGCCACCAACCATAGTAATTCAACCGAGGGCTTTGGAGAGGACTGCACAGTAAGATAAGAGAGAGATTAGTGATTCACAAAACAGCACGTCTTCAGTCACCTCGGTGAATACATCTATGGAAACTAGTCTACCTTAGCAACTTATACTTCTCATTATAACTGGGACGTCATGTGAGAGAAAGATAACCTGTTTAATGTATTTTCATGCATTTCCTTGTGAATAGACGTCATTTTTTGTGCAAAAATTCCTCATTTTTATGACTGATCGGCTGAAGATCACTCGTGCTTTCTTTCGCATCCCTTGGGACGCTGTTGTTGAACTTTGCCTTTATTCGATAAATACAGACATCTATCAAAGTACATAAATCTAAAATTAGGTGAATATAGAACATCACCTTTCTATCTCAACTTCATCGACTTTGAAAAGGCCTTTGACAGCGTCGATCGAGAGGTGCTTTGGCAACTACTTCGCTACAACCGGGTGCCACCAACAATTATACATCTCATCAAACAGCTGTACGACAATGCTGCATGCCAAGTAATCCACAACGGGAAACTTACTGAATCCTTCAAAGTGAGGACAGGAGTAAGACAAGTTGTCTGCCTACAATCGCCAATGATTTTCTTGATTCCACTAGATTGGAGAATGGGACAAACAGCGGGCAATGAGGAAACAGGCATTAAATGGACCCATACAAAAAAAACTTGGAGGATCTTGACTTCGCCGATGATATATGTCTGATTTCCCACAAACTGGAAGCTATGCAAGCGAAAAGCAACAAGTTGGCACAAGAAGCATCCAGAGAAGATGGGACTTCAGGTGAAGGCAGATAAAACGGAGGTGATGAAGACTCCTGGCCAACACCAGCAACAGCAACAGCAAAAACAACAACAACAGACACCAATCAGCCAACATAAATGGAAGGAACCTGAAAGAAAAAACCTCTTTTACCTACCCACCTACCTGGGAAGCATCGTTTCAACTACAGGCAGATGGAACTGATGAGGATATCAAAGCAAGAATCGATTGGAAAAGCAAGACAAGCTTTCACTACTCTCAAGTCTGTGTGGAGGTCAACAGTCAGCACTCAGCATCAAAATGATAATAAGATCCGGATTTTCAACTCCAATGTGAAGTCAGTCAGTGCCACTTACTATACGGATGGATCAGAGACTTGCACTGCGCGTCATAAACAGCATCTCAAACAAACTACACACCTTCATTAACAGCTAGCTGTCTTCGCTCAATACCACTCAAGATCAGATGGCCGGCCGGCCAGAAAAGATCAGCAACAGAGAGGGATCTCTGGCAATGAGCGAACCAACACACACAGCAGGAACCAACCGATTGTGAAAGAAATAGGCAGGAAGAAATGGAGATGGATGGATTGGCTGGCCATACTCTTAGGAAACAAGCCATCAAGTGAGTGACATGACTAGACAAGCCATTGGTCGAGTGGAACCCGGGCGAAAGGGAAGCGGCGGCGAGTTGTTCGTCAGAGCAAGGCCGAGGGTGACGTGGAGGAGGTCATGTGAAGGGGAGATGGAAACGTGTGTGCAGACTTGGAGGCAGGTGAAGACTCTAGCAGAGAACCGAACGCAATGGAGACGCACGGCTGAAGCCCTATGTTCCTCTAGGAATTAAAGGATACAATAATAATATAACATCAATGTTGTTTCTTCTAGTTCTATAAAAACTAAAAGTTAAAAAATCATTGATGTCGCAAAATAAACTAGTACAAAAATCAATACAGACGCATGTATATTAACTGACCTTTTACATGTTGTTGCACGTGCTTTCAGTTTAGACGATGGGACAGTTGTATATGTTCCACCACATTGTCTCGGTGTACCATAAACATCATAATAATTACAATTTGATCTAATAAATAAAAAAAGAAGTGGACAGTATTGAAGACAAGATGAATTAGAAGCCTTGAGATTAATTAGTACACTTTGAATACCAATATAATATCTGATAAGACTATGAGATGGAGTTCCTGAAGTGCCACAGAGCAGTCAGTGGTGAACAGAGGGGTTCATTAAGTCAGATGTGACGATAAATGCTCACAGATGACATTGGCTGGTGACGGTCATTGGGTTCCATTCTACTCTTGTCCCGTAACCTAGTCATCAACCCTGATTCTATTACCAAGGGGCTGTCGTGGATTTGAACTGCTTGGTAGTCTTATACTAGGAGGAAACAGCTGTCCAGTACTCCTTGTTTGTCTCCAGTCTTTCGCCAACTGTGATCACACATCGTAATCTTACTTGACATCAGTCAAAATTTCAGGTATGAGTGATTCTGAAATCATCAGTTTACACGAGACGTTTCCATTCCATGAATTTCGAATTATATTATATTATTATTGTTCCCTTGGGTTCCTAGTGGAACATAGGGCTTCAACTACACGTCTCCACTTGCTTCTGTCTTCTGCTGTACTTTTCACCTGCATCCATGTAAGTCCATACTGTTTCAGCTCCTCTTCACACGATCTCCTCCATGTCACCCTTGCACTGAAGTCCCACTCACCGCTTCCCTTTCGACTTCCACTCGAGCTATGGCCTGACGCGCGATGTCACCCAGCCGTCTCCTCAGCCATTGTCCAATCCATCTCCACTTTCTCCTGCATATTTGTTGGGCGATCGGTTCTTGTTATGTTTGTTCCCATAGTTTCTTGTTGGCTCTTGTTCTTTCCGGCGGCCATCTGATCTTCAGTATAGAGCCAGCTAAGACAGTTGTTGATGAAGGTCTGCAACAGGCTGTTGGAAATATTCTTTGTGACCCGCCGCCAACTTTCTGATCCATCCGTATAGAAGAACTGACTGACTGACTGACTTGACGTTTGTATTGAAAATCCGAATCATTTTGTTGTTGATGCAGGCTGAGTTGAGTGACAGCGGAAGATTTCCAGATTGGTTGGTGTCATGTTGATGAATGTGTTTCTCGCCTTCCCGATTCTCGATTTGACATCCTCGTCCGTTCCCACTGCCTGTAGTTGAGACAATGCTCCCTCCCTAGATGAGTGAATGAAGTGACCTCTTTCAAATCCCTCCCGTTGATGGTGATTGGCACTGGATGTTGCTGCTACTGTTGTTGTTGTTATTGAGTGGTTGGTTATTTTCATAACCTCCGTCTTGTCTATGTTCACCTGGAGTCCTGTCTTCTCTGGCTGCTTCTTCGACCAGTTTGTCGGTCGGTTTTCGCTTGTAAGTCTTCGATTTTGTGTGACATCAAACACAAATCATCCACGCACGAAATCCAGGTCTTCTAGGTTCTTCACATCGGTGGTCCAGGATATCCCTGTCTTGTCGATTCCTAGCACTGTCTGACGCATAATCCAGTCCACCACAATTAGGAATATCAATGGTGATAATAAGCACCCTGTTCTGACTTGAGTTTCGAATGAAACACAGTAATTCACACTTGATGCTGTAATACATGAACCATTTTATATGCATGGTATTATTTATTTTATCGCTTCATATTGGACTATAATTATTATTATTACTACAATCACAAACAGTTTATTTGTATTTCACACTATCATTGCTATTATAAGTATTCACATTTTTTAGAATTCAATTGGTGGATGGTGACTAGCAGTGAAATCCACCAGGATGCGCGTTTTGTTCTGTTTTGAACTCATCATCTGGATGTACCTACATTCACCAGTGAGTGATAATGTTCCCACCGAGGCTCAAACCCAGTGCCCATAGTTTTTGAAACGCCAAAGCGTTACCCACTAGACCACCTGAGCCACGAGAGGAACCTCTTGTGCAACGGGTCATATTAATTATTCAATTGAATTTTAGATTTTCCCCCTTTCGATGGGAACATCATCACTCACTGACTGGGAAATGCAGGTGCATCCAGATGATGGGTCCCAAATAGGAAGAAATACGCGTTATCCTGGTGGATTCCACTGCTAGTCACCATCCACCAATTAAATTCTAATCACGTGCCCAGACATCGTCGAAGCACCTGTACAGGAAGCCGACATGTCAACCTGAGTAGACCGAGCACTTCGGTCCAATCAATTGACGGGAAAATCTAAAATTCAATTAAATAATTCACACTCAGTAACTTGATATGATTATGAGCAATAATTTGTGCTCGAAGCGTCATCAATTAATATAACTGTGTAATACTGTGAGACTTTAACAAAACAAATTTTACCCATAGTTAAAAATAATTCACATCTTTTGTTTAAATTTCCACATGAGATGTACACTTTATCAAAATTAATACATACACATACAATTATTGTACACCATGATAATAAATTCATTTGAAGAGAGTCTCCTCACTGAATTATTCCAGTGTTGGTTCGTAGGGATTTGATTGATTGGTTACAGGATTTTCATCATGAGCTGGCATTAGTTAGAGAACCATTGGAAAACCAACTGGGAGTACTGGACAGCTGTTTCGTCCTATCAGTGAGATGCTCACTAGCGACTTGCTCTATTCAGGTAGGTAGTTACCTGGGTGGGTTCTAGTGAGAAGTCGTGACCAGTAGGGTGCAGCAGGTAGCGTGTGAGGACAAATACTCGCCACCGAAGACATTGGCTAGGGGTCGCGCTATGTCGTGAATTGGCGGAAGTTAGAATTTATGGGCTGGCCATTGGATCGGGTCCCAGTGGCTTAATGGTATACGAGCTAGCTTACCTTGTAACCAGAAGGTCCTGGGTTCGAATCCCGGTGGGTGCGTACTGATGAAGAGTCCCAAACTAGGACGAAACAGGTTTTCCAATGGTTCTCTAACCAATGTCAGCTCATGATGAAAATCCTGTAACCAATCAAATCCCTACAAACCAACACTTGAATATTACTGAAAAACTTACATGCTAGCCTCACTTGTTCATGAGTACTACTAAAACGTTACATGCAAACAGGAACTGATTAACAGGGACGTGGAAAGAGTATGACAGAGTGTAGGAGACTGGAGATATGTGTGCATGAGTGTGTGTGTGTGAAAGTGATAAATCATTACAAATGTGTGCTGTGCATTTGTATATAAATGTGAAAAACGAAAACAATTACGTAACGACTACAAATTACCTAGACAACGGTAGACACATCACACTGTGTAAATGACACTAAGCTTAATGAGTGTTGGCCATAAATGACAAAACATTTAAGATAATGTAGGCAGAGAGATAGACAGGTGGATAGTTACACAGACATATAGAAAAAATTACCGTCGATATGGTGGATTTATATAAAAACTTTTATTGGTCGCTCGTCTAAATGGAAGAGAACAATAATATGAGAACAAAAATGAGACAGCAAACAAAAATTAAAAAAAAACAATCTCTATCTTATAGAAAATCAAAACAAATGATTCAGCGAAAATAGACTCTTTTCAAACTTGACTTATCAACCGTACCACAGAAAATACTTTACATGAGCTTGGAATTCAAAGGGCACTTAGCTTCCGATATCATGAAACGAAGGATATCACAGTCCCTGAAAAGAACATTGCCTGCTGCATCTCTGAGAATAGCCTTTACTAGTCGACCATTATTGTTCAATAACCTGAAGGACAAGATCCCGCTGTTGACCAACTCTATGTGTGTTTATCAATTCACCTGCTTGTGTGGAGCTAGGTATATCGGTCATTCGACACGAGTTTTGTCCAAGAGGGTGCAAGAACACTATCCTGAATGTTTACGAAAAGGTGGAAGTGGAGCAATAAGAAGAGTGATCATTGAACATCTGGTCGATAATGATCACCCTATCTCTATAGCCTCCGCCTTCAAAGTCATCTACAAGGCAAAGAGTAATTTACCCAAATCCCTACGTACCCGACTCATCTGTATTACAGAAGCCATCTTTGGCTATCGAAACAGAAAAGCCAGATCTGTGTACAGAAAATGTTCGTTCAACCCCTCCAACTTTCATGGTCTTAATCCCTCTATGCTAAAGTATGGTAATCCCCAATCATACTTTAGCTCTACCAACTCTCCATTTTTTCATTTTTGTCTATTCAATTTGTATACTCTTCCTTATTACGTCAATTGTTATTATTACTACTCTCACTTTTAACTGACCCCGGTATTATTTCACTTGTTCCACTTGTCATTCTAAATTCACTTCCTTTTTACAACATTAAATTCTATGCTATTAAATTTCACACAATATTACGTAACGTTTTTATTTTATTCGATTTGTCTACTAATCTTATAATTGCACACCTTTTTCAGGTTCTATCCATCCTATGAATTATTCTATGTGTGACATTAATTTGCTTTGCCACTTGACATTTAACTACGATTATAATCACAAACATTTTAGTTTTAATTGCACTTCATATTATTATTACTTCATGCATTCACACCTATGTTTCAATTCCCTCACCGGATATAACTTCTTAAAAAACCATATATATACGATTGTACAGCTTGATGATAAATTCGTTGAAAAGAGTCTCTTCGCTGAATCACCACTTGTTTTGATTTTCTATATGTTACAATGGGAATTTTTCATGATTTAAAAAATCTCTGTCTTCACTTATTATGAAATTAACAAGACACGCCAATGCATACAGTGTAAGTGAATGACATAATCCAGTCGACCGACCGATGCCTTCAAGTTCCTTCCCTTCCAGCCGCATTTATAATATTAGCTTTCTATATTTCAGACACCTTCCACACTATTTGAAAAACAAGTGGGTAGTCTCAAAGGGCTTTAAAGTATAGTGCAGATAGGCATTTCAAGAAGTTCTTCACATTAGTGAAAGGGAACAGAACAAAGATGAGACAGCAGTTAAGCATGAATAATCAAGAGAGAGAGGCTATTGGAGGCATATGGTTGCGCTTCTGGATGATTTCAAAGTGTCATATTTCACAAGAGGAGGAGCGGCAGCCATTCGGTGACTCAACACTGAAGATCAGATGTCCAGAGGAATGACAAACAACAAATTCTCGCAACGAACATGTGAAGGACCTACCGCCCAGCAAATGCATCGAAGGAAATGGGAATGGATTGGACACTGTTTGCTGAGAAGGCAATTAAAAAAACGTCACATGCCAGCTAGGCTCTTAAGTGAGTCCTGAATGGGAAGTGATCAGTTGGGAATTGGTCCAAGGGTGGTATGAGGGAGATCATGTGAAAAGAAAGTAAGAGGTGGTCAATGTTCGCATGGCCAGTTGAAAACAATAGTGGAAAAGTGAAAGCGACTGAGGTAGGCATCCCAGTCTCTATGTTCCAATTTCAGCATAAGGAACTACTAATAAAGAATTATTGGTGATGCATATATATATATTCGAAGATAACATAAATAACTCACGATTGAATATGATGACGTAGACTTTCCAAGTCGAATGTCGTATATGGTCTTATTGATTTATTGACAGGAAATCCTCGATTATCAGTTGAGAAATTAGTTAAATGCCTAAAAAAACAGAAAAACATTTAAAAAGGTGGAATACAAAACATGTTGTTAAAACAGAAACATCAAAATAGGTCAATTACAACAGGGAGGAGAAGTTAGTCAAAACTGAATCTGTGTTCAAATATTTCAGCATGATCAACGACCATTTTAGTGCGTCGGTGGCATAGCGGTTAGGACGCTCGCCGACCATGCACATGGTCCGGGGTTCGATCTCCGGCCACAGACGCACTCCTTTACCTCGCTGAGCCAGAAATAATGCTGGCGAAGAGGGAAGGTTGGGCATGAGGCTAGCAACCCCATCCTGTAAAAAAACACTACCACAGAAACTTCAAGCCACTAGCCTGAAGCCCTATGTTCCACTGGGGAACGTGAAGGAAAAAAAACAAAAAAATGACCAGTTATTACGAATTCATTTAGATGACAGCAATTGGCTTCAAATCAGATCACAAACTGGCATCAGTTAGAGAACCATCGACAGTCGGACTATGTTTCACTGGTGTCGCATCCTTGTTTTGGAATATTCAGCAATATGCACTGTTACCTCACTGTGCACCGCAAATAAAATCAGATGACGGTGGCACTATGCATACGGCAAATTGGCGGGATCCTTCCCTGTGACTGAAAGGTTAATGAGTTCGCCTCCTAATCTGAAAGGCGTCGGATTAATCCTCGGTGGCAGGGTCACGTGCACCGCTGAAGAGTCTTGAACTGGGACGAAACAGCCGCCAGGTATGTCTCATTCTCAGTCGTTCCTTGACAAAAGTCGATCTGAGATCTTACTTGAAATAGTCATCAATATTCATTTAGTGTCATTTTCTGGATTCTTACACTGTTGAAATTTACTTTATAACATGGAAGTGTTATTGTCAACGCAGATGCTTTAATCAGTAACGATAATCGTCTTTATGATAGCTTTATTCTAAACCATACTCTATACAGTATGGAATTCTCAACACGCACTTTCCTAATGCATTTAACGCTCTCTTAACGTCACATAGCATTGGGGAAATAATTACATAACTTTTTGAGATCTATAGTAATAATAATAATTGTGACAGTAATATGTGAATGTGTGCTTCGGTGGTATAGCGGTTAGGACGCTCGCCGACCATGCACATGGTCCGGGGTTCGATCTCCGGCCACAGACGCACTCCTTTACCTCGCTGAGCCAGAAATAATGCTGGCGAAGAGGGAAGGTTGGGCATGAGGCTAGCAACCCCATCCTGTAAAAAAACACTACCACAGAAACTTCAAGCCACTAGCCTGAAGCCCTATGTTCCACTGGGGAACGTGAAGGAAAGAGAAAAATATGTGTAAAAATTAATAAGAATAATTATAGAAATAATAAAAGGGGGGTTATTTATTTATTGTTTCTTAGAAAGTCAGTAGTTTCGAACCTAACGTTTCTTTAAATCATATAAGATGTGTGTCAAATAAGGTGTCATTGAATTTTTATATTTAGTCGTGTAAACATAAGGTCTTTTATACTTGCTTATAGTTCTACATGAAGACATTCGAGGGGATATTTCTGAAAATAAGAAGTGTGTTGTATCCAAGACGATGAACTGTCAGTTTCTTGTATGAGTTCAAGTGTCTGTCATCAATGATATTAGCGAGTTAGCTCAGAAACACATTACAATATTGACATATCAGACAAACTCATGCTATCGTATGACGTGACCTCCTTGTTTACAAACGTACTACTGATGGAAACGATTGATATCATTTGTAAACAAACGGATCTGCTACCATTACCGGAAACAGAGATGAAGCGACTACTGCTGCTCTGCACAAGAGATATACAATTCAAATTCAACATTCAACTCTACGGACAAATTGATGGGGTCGCGATGGGTTCACCTCTGAGACCTATTCTGGCTGATATCTTCATGGGCTACCTTGAACAGACACAACTGATTTCTGCTATCAACGGAACAGTGTCTTCCTTAAAACAATAAAGGTTGACAATAAGAATAAACTTACTCTTGACTAAGTGCCACTTCTAGCGGGCGATCACATGAGATACAATGGAAATGTTGCATAAGACTACGTCGTAAACCAGCTGCGTCGTCTGTTACTTGTCCAGGCGGAAGTAGACTGTCATTATTCAATGAATTGAAACGTTTATTCAACGATTTAAATCGTTTCTCCAGCCATTCTCTCAGCTGATCAATTTCATCACGATCCATTTTGTTTTCCATTGCTTCCTGAAGATCATTCAATAAGGACTTCAATTCATTCTCCTGAATTGACAAAAATAAGGAAAGAAAGAGAAGAATAGAGAGGAAATAAAGATGGATGAGTTGGGCGGTTCCAAGTAAAGCATTTTATTTAAAATCAATACATGAGATGAATTGGTTTACCTGAGCTGTTAATGCTTCTGACTACTTCATCATTTGAGATGACTGAAAGTTTTATTGGAACAGTCTGTTGGTCCCAAGAAATGGGGTTTACCCAGTGTCCAGTCACTAGTGTTGATAATGGTTGATGTGCCAGTCAAGTCTGTAATGTAGTCACTAATACACTACTCTTCCAATCGCGGCACACTTTCCGGATAAATGTATCCATCAATTGTACTCATCCATTCATATGCTACTGTGGAACCAGCTATACCAGCGGTTGATCTAGGAACTTCGTTTTTAGTGCTCACTTCACCGTTTTTAAAGCTTATGGAAAAACTAGTTCATCTTTAACTTGAAGACCCCAAACAACTTGCCTATAGACAGGGTAGGAGCACTTTAGACGCTGCAGCCGTCTTACACAACAACATCGTCTCATCATTAGATAAAGGTGTCAAATACGTCCGCTGCACGTTTCTCGACTTCACTTCTGCTTTCGACTCTGTACCTAGATGTCTCTTGCTAAATAAGCTATCTGTGACGAAAACTGACTCCTGGGTCACTAACAGGCTGCATTCTTAATTCTCTAAAAGAACGCAGTACACCGTATACAAAGGTAAATCCTCCTCTGCTGCGCTCACTGAAGCTGGTGTCCCCCAAGGTGCTGTACTCTCACCACTTCTCTTTCCTTTCTTTCTTTCTACATGACTTACCATCTTCAAATGACATCAATTTCGTCAAATATGCTGACGACCTGACAGTATCTTTGCCTGTCAAATGTCAAAAGGACTGCTCTAAACTAAATGGCTTTCTGTCAGAAATCAGCCAGTGGTCCAAGGAAAACGGTCTTACCCTAAACCCCTTCAAATGACAAACAGTCAATTTCACCTTTAGGCATAAATCCGACCTAAACAAACCGGTTGGCTCTCACGAGGTGTGCAACATTGATGGCACTGAAATAGAAACCAAGTCGGAAATTAAATACCTAGGCGTCATTCCATCTGCTGATCTCTCCTGGTCGTCTCATATCTTGGCGTTTTCTAAGAAAATATTCCGTCTTACCTTCTACATCAAGAAGTTAAGACATTCTGGTATAACCCTCCAACCCTTACTCCTACAATTCGTTAACTCTCGCATTCTGCCTATTATTCTCTATTGTTCCACCTTAGTTTCTCCCGGGCTACTGAAGAAAGACTATAACATATTACGCAGGATGTTAAAGGTTTTCAGCAGAGTAAGCAACGTGCCAATTAACCAGATTGTTAATATTCTCGTTGAGAGGCACGTGGACTCATGTGAAAAATGAGCCAAGTCCATTTTATCTAACTCACACCACCCTCTTCACTCACAACTCTTCCCTTGCATCTCATCAGGCAAAACCAGAAGCCTATATAGAAAACTATATGCTCGCACCAGCAAGTACCAAAACTCAACCATACCCTACTTAGCTCGTATTCTGGGCTATAAAGAACACTGTTCAACTTTGGCTTTGCTACCGATATGCCAATGTGTTGTTGTCATAATGAACTGTGGTTTCCTTAATCTATGTAGAATTCTATTTATTGATAATGTACTAACTGGATGCAATACTGTAGTGAAGAAAATGTTGACAATTCCATTCTGTATCACAAGTACTGTTTTGGAATAAAGCAAATTATTATTATTATCAGTGGGGCTAATTTAACCATTACACCGGAATCAATACTACTCAATCAAATTATTTTCCAATGAAATGTAAAAATTCCAAAGTATTCATCATACTCAGATGTTACATTTAGAGCATATATCATCAGCCAGTTAGAACTCTGTCGAAGTGTATACTTCGCGCTACCTCATACCATTTCTGGACCCTTTGGCAGACATCACCCATAAGACCATAAAGGAATTAGTCTAATGGCATTTGAATACGAGGTGAGCATAAAAACATAGTATTATTATTATTTATTATTTTACCCTTGGGTTTCCAGTGGAAAATAGAGCTTCAACTACACGTCTCCACTTGCTTCTGTCTTCTGCTGTACTTTTCACCTGCATCCATGTTAGTCCATACTGTTTCAGCTCCTCAGCGAGTGTCCAATCCATCTCCACTTCTTTCTCCTCTATATTTGCTGGGCAATTGCTTCTTATTTTGTTTGTTTCCAAAGTCTCTTGTTGGTGATTCTTTCCGGCCATCTGATCTTCAGTATAGAGCCAGCGAAGACAGTTGTTGCTGATAAAGGTCTGCAACAGGCTGTTGGAAATATTCTTTGTGACCCGCCGCCAAGTTTCTGATCCATCCGTATAGAAGAACTGACTGACTGACTTGACGTAGTTTGTATTGAAAATCCGAATCATTTTGTTGTTGATGCTGAGTTGAGTGAGGAAGATTGGTTTGAGGTTGATGAATGTGTTTCTGGCCTTCCCGATTTTCGATTTGACATCCTCGTCCGTTCCGTGTGCCTGTAGTTGAGACAATGCTCCCTAGATAAGTGACCTTTTTGAAGTAACCTCTTTCAAATGCCTCGCGTTGATGGTGATTGTCGGTGGATGTTGCTGCTGTCGTTGTTGTTGTTCTTGTTGGTTGGTTATTTTCATAACCTCCATCTTGTCTATGTTCACCTGGAGTCCTGTCTTCCCTGGCTGCTTCTTCGACCAGTTTGTCGGTCGGTTTTCGCTTGTAAGTCTTCGATTTTGTGTGACATCAAACATAAGTCATCCGCGAGATCCAGGTCTTCTAGGTTCTTGACGTCGGCGGTCCAGGATGTCCCTGTCTTCTCGTTTCCCACTGTCTGACGCATAATCCAGTCCACCACAATTAGGAATATCATTGTTGATTATAAGCACCCTTGTCTGACTCCTGTGTTTACTCCAAACGCCTCACTGAGTTTTCCGTTGTGGATCACTTGACATGAGCCGATAAAATCATGGTACTTCTGAGTGAAAATTATTTCACTGCTAATAAATGAGTGACTGTGTGACAGGCTGGTTTTCCCTAGTTTAGGATGTGTGCATGTGTGTTCGGAGACAGACACATTTTGCTAGGCCTGATGCCAAATCAAGAATTGAATGCACTTACAGTCCATTGGCCGATGGATTCCTCTCCATTTTGGATGTATCATAACCTGCTTGGTTTATAACCTGAAAATTCTTTATTTCACCCCTAGTGACATAGTAGGTGTTTTTACTGCTGACAGGTCTCCGAATTAGGTGAAACTGATACTCACAGCTGTCTGTTTTGCAAAGATTCACTGAGTAATTTATGCTTTTGATGAAATCTACCACAGAAAGAGTCCACCCTGAGAGGCTCTCTATCCAAATCTGATTTCATCACTAGATATTGGAAATTATATGAAAGAAATAATTTTGTAACAATGAATGCTTGTCATTGAGCCTAAGGCTAAATAATTTTGTGGAATATGCCATATTAGTATCATCATTATCATTTATCCTTTAAGTTCCCAGTGGGACATAGAGTCTAGAGTCTATCATTTTCAGCTTGCTTCAATTCTGCACTCCAGTTTTAATTTCCTCTCCAGGTAGCCTCCTCTATGTCACCATCGAAGTCTCTACTCGTCGCTTTGCATTAGTATTCCACTCAAACACTTGATGCTTGATACCACCCAACGGGCTTCTTAGCGTATTTCCCACCCCGTGACTTCTTTCATTATACCTATTGAGCAGTAGGTTGTTGAATGCTTCACTGACCATCAGAGTTCAGTGTTCCTTGTCCTTTCTGGTAGGCCATTTGCTCCTCAGTGTCACGAGCGAAGGTGAAAGGCCGCTGGAAAAGTGTTTTATTGACGCGTCTACCAATTCCTTAAACCAAATTGAAGTATAAACTGGTTTGACATCATTCTTGAAAATTTGGACATTATTGATTGTTCTGAGTGTTGTGGGACTCCAGTTATGGTAATGTGATACAGACAATGTGTTCCAACGGATTATTATTATTCTCACATATTCCCACAGTTCAATACCGCATTAGCAACAGAATGCTGTATGTATTTGAACATTCTATTTCATGTTGTCAAATTTAAACCGAAATCATAGGCTTAGTGATTGGTTAAAGAATATAAAACTGTTTATATATAATTAGTGGCTTTATCACTTGAAAATATGTCTTACCTTCTGCTGTTACACAATGAGTAATGAAAAACTGTCTGGCATTATCTATCCTGACTAACTTTAATATGCTCATCGGTATCTCTTACATATAGGTTTAACGATATTGGTCGAATAAGTGAAAGGAGGGATTTCGTTTAAATTTCTCCTGCTGATGGTGTCTGACGATTATTCGTTTATCCGTTAGGTACCTTTATCACTTACGTCTTACGCATATTCATCTGAATTCCTGTCTTTACTGCTACTTGAGCCTAGTCGCTTGTATCTACTAGAGTTTCTGTTACACCAGGATTATGCGTCAGACAGTGGGAAACGAGAAGACAGGAATATCCTGGACCACTAACGTGAAGAACCTAGAAGACCTGGACTTCGCGCATGGATGATTAATGTTTAATGTCACACAAAATCGAAGACTTACAAGCGAAAACCGACCGACAAACTGGTCGAAGAAGCAGCCAGTGAAGACAGGACTCCAGGTGAACATAGACAAGACGGAGGTTATGAAAATAACCAACCACTCAATAACAACAACAACAGTAGCAGCAACATCCAGTGCCAATCACCATCAACGGGAAGGATTTGAAAGAGGTTACTTCATTCACTTATCTAGGGAGGGAGCATTGTCTCAACTACACGAGGAACGGAACTACGAGGATGTCAAATCGAGAACCAGGAAGGCGAGAAACACATTCATCAACCTGAAACCAACCAATCTGGAAATCTTCCGCTGTCACTCAACTCAGTCTGCATCAACAACAAAATGATTCGGATTTTCAATACAAACGTCAATTCAGTCAGTCAGTTCTTCTATACGGATGGATCAGAAACTTGATGGCGGGTCACCAAGAATATTTCCAACAGCCTGTTGCACACCTTTATCAACAGCTGTCTTCGCTCTATACTACTGAATATCAGATGGCCGGAAAGAATCGCCGACAAGAAACTAAGAGAACAAACAAAACAAGAACCAATCGCTCAACAAATATGCAGGAGAAAGTGGAGATGGATGGATTGGACACTGGCTGAGGAGGCCACTGGGTGACATCGCGCGTCAGGCCAGTGCTCGAGTGGAACCCGAAAGGGAAGCGGCGAGTGGGACGTCGGTGCAAGAGTGACATGGAGGAGACCGTGTGAAGAGGAGTTGAAACAGTATGGACTAACATGGATGTAGGTCAGAAGTACAGCAGAAGACAGAGGCGAGTGGAGGCGTGTAGTTGAAGCCCTATGTTCCACTAGGAACCCAAAGGAACAATAATAATAATAGAAATGCGAATCTATTTCTAATACAAGAAGATAAATGCGAAAAAAATAAGGATTTATCACAAAACTCACTGCAGCCGTTAACTTTCCAAACAGATCTTCGATAAGTTCTTTCAAAGTTTGATTTGTACTTTGGAATTCTGATCTACTAAGGAAATTCTTCACATCGTCACAGTTGGCTTTCTGGAAAACAGCAAAAAAAGAAAAAAAGCAAACAAATTTGAGTAAAATATAATTGTATATAAATATGAACTTGTTGGATGGTTAGAGACATTCACTGAGAAGTCTTGGAATGAAATTTTGCGTCAACTGGCGCTTGTCAACAAACACGTCTATCAGCAACCCCTTTGGAAACGTGTGGCCTTATAAGCACGGTGAGCCAGTCTTTCGAAAAAATTGTGAAATTTACTGGTAGAATTTAGTCAAAACCTTGAACTGGGCAGGTTATGGGGGTTACTTCCCTGTGACCAGTTGGCGATATATATTGATGTGCGTGAATAAACTTGTTAGTCATTTCTTCACCTTAAAAATCAGTGTTGTCTAAGATGAGATAGAGACACAAACTTTTGATGGAGTTCATTTTTTGGAAGATATTAAAAGTCTATTATCGTGGATTTTTACCTTGAAATAATTTCTGAAATTCAGTTAGCCAGTTAGTTGCATAATTAGTTATGTTAGACACTTGTGAACAGCTTGCATAATTTTAAAGCAAAAACTTTTGGAAAACAAAGTATGAACCAGAGTTTAGTGAACAATGAACCAAAATGACTTCCATATTAGTTTGTTTATTAGATATATCACACAGTGAAACCGTATGTGAAGCCAGGTAAAATATTCTAGACTGATCAACTGGAGAATGTTAATGAAATGACTCAGAATCATTTGAAATGTTATCTATCATTCCAGCTATTAAAATATCAGCTAGTTTTTAATCGAATTGTTCTTTTTCTAGGCAATCTGGTGGTGGTTCAAGTCTCTGTGTTCAGAACATACACTGAGGAAAGTTTTGAATGACACCAGGCACCTAGCTAGCCTTTGAGTGGAACTCAAATGAGAAACAATGCTCTGGGAATCCTAAGGTGGCATGGAAATCGTTAGAGGAGAAAATTAAAGCTTATGGGCAGTTTTTTGGAGAGATACAAAAAGGATTGCAGTTAACTGGTCGAAAATTTAGATGGATCCCTGGAGCTATGTATATTTCACTTTGGACCCAAGAGATTAAGAATATAATAGAGAAGATCTGTAGCTCAGGTGGATGATTTGCAATTATTAGTGTTCTCTGAACTGGTTGGTTTAGTTGCGGAGCTTTCGTCGTCACCCTGCTGGACAACATCCCCCTTCAGAGCGATATTTAGCATAAAGTGAAATGATTTAAATTTCTTCATGAGTGATATAAATGCGCACGTCTCCCGGTAACCATCTTTACAACATATGTATTGACCATTTTCTATTGACTTGGATTTTAAACTTTCTCGTCACCTGATTTACTTTTCATTAGTTGGTACATTTCATCTGTATTAACGTGTTTGTTAATTGCATTTTCGTTTGAGTACCAACCAGGCTTCTAGGAATTCCCTGACTGCACTTTTGGTGTTTCCTCTGTCTAAGATCTCGACATTATCCCAATCAAATTGATGACTATAATTGTCTATATGCATTGATACTGAAGAATACATATCGTGTCTTTTCACGGCTGATTTGTGTTCTTGGATTCTAATTCATTTCACTTTATGCTAAATATTGCGCTGAAGATTTTATCCAGAAGGATGACGAAAGCTCCGCAACTAAACCAACCAGCTCAGAGAACACTATTAATTGCAAATATCTAATTTGTATTTTAGGCATTAGACATCAGTTGCTTAGGCAAACTTGAAGTGAATAACAATACTATTTTGTTTATTAATAACTTTAAGGGAATTCACGGTTGTTGTCACCTTATGACCAATTATTTATTCTAAATAAAATCTGTAGGATAACCAATTGAAAACCTAAAGCGGTATAATAAAACTGGTCTAGTCACCAAATTAAAGCATCAGTCACCATGAGACAAACAGTACGGACAGGTGAAAAACAACAGATTGAGATGGACGGTGGTTGATAAGAGAGATTATATAGTCTCAAACAACATTGATAAAACAGTTGAACGCGATGGAGAATATATATACACTTAGGATATTCGTAGGGTTTCTTAATAAATTAATTCAATGTAAATTTCGTCACGCAGTAACATCAGTTAGCGATCATTGTAAACCAGGGAGCACTAGACAGCTGTTTCATCCTAGTATTCGACAAGACCAGTAGTGCCTATCCTGAATTCCATCAGGAACTGAACTTGGAACCTTAACTCTACGAGACCAACTTCGTTAACCATTCAGTCAGTTAGGAGGGAGTCCAATAACCAGTAAATTCTATTTTCTGTCAGTCCATTATATAACGCCATCCTTAACCAGTACATCTGATCACTATTCATTTTACTAAACAAGGACGGAACAGCGGTTCAGTGATCTCTAGTCTTTAATGATCGCTAAGTTATGTTGGTTGGTGACGAAATCTATATTGAATCCCTCAAAATGCCAGACTACTGACTTCTCCTTTAGGCATAAACGAGATCTACAAACACTAGTAAGTACTCATGAAGCCTGTTGCATTGAGGGGACTAAAATTGAAACTAAGTCTGATGCAAAATACCTCGGTCTAGTTTTGTCTTCTGATCTTACTGGACATCTCATATCCTAATGATTTCTAAGAAAGTGTTCTGTCTTACCTACTACATTAAGAAACTTAGACAATCCGGAATCACCAAACCTCTACTTTCACAATTTGTCAACTCTTGTATCTTACCTATTCTACTTCACTACTCCCCGTCAGTCTTTCCTGGTCTACTGAAAAAGGACTACATCATCCTGAGAAGGATGGAGGAAGGTAGTTAGTAGGACTAGTTGTGTAAAACTCAGTCAGCTCATCACTAAATTAGTTGAAAGGCATCTGAATACATGCGAAAAATGGTCAGAAACCATACTCTCCGACCCTTAACACCCCCTTTATTCCCAAATTTCGCCTTGTATCTCATCAAGGCGAACCAGAAATCAGTATAAAATATTCTATGCTCGTACAACCAAGTACAGGAACTCAACGATACCATACTTAGACCGTGTTCTAATTGACAGAGACAATGTTAAGTGTGAAACCTATGACTTGCTTTGTTGTTAATAACATAATTTTAGGCTCTTTTATTTCTCTCTTATTTGTATTCTATAGTGAACTCCTTCTTAAACATACTTAGCTACCTAAATTATTAACATTGGCTTACTTTTTTACTTTACTATATTCCTTCTTTTGTGTATCTACTGGTTCCGATTATATTAGCACTATGAGTATTACAAAATTGTCCTGTCATTAAACATCACGTAAATATTAGTTTTGTGGTTGTTTTTTATTTTTTCCGGCAATATTAACTGACAATCATTGGTTGTGGAAGCCATTACCACCATCTTAAAATTTTGTATTATGCAGGATTACTCACACTACCACTACAAACACGCATTACACCTGACAATAAAAAACAAAACAACAACCCTGAAATGTTATTTTATGATTGTTTAGTGTTGTTTCAACCAAATTAACTGATCATCTTGGCGATAAACATTCTAAAATATCATTTCATAACTTCTTGTATGACTATAGCTTTACTGTCACCATGCATAATCACATCATATCTTCCACTACCCAATACTGAGATATTATTATATGCTGTTTATTTTCCTTTCTACTTCTTCGTATTTTTTCGCATTTTTAAAAATTATTTTTGTGTTTTTTTTGCTGTTGTTGTCTTTATATTTATTTATTTATTTATTTTTGAAATACTCCTTTTAAATGATTGATAAAATTAGATGCAAATATTGTAGATATGTGCTGAAAATTCCACACTGTACCACTAGTACTGTTTCTGGAATAAAGCAAATTATTATTATTACTATTATTATAAAATCAATCCGAATTCTGAGGAAACCTGGAATCTAAATATCAATCCTCAGCTAATAGATAGCTACTATCGAATGGATATTCTGAAGCTGCAGTGAGATGTCATGGCTAGTGGTGTCCAACACATACCAGGTTGAAATTGATGCTCGTCAATGGTATTCGTTGAATGTAGAGCTACATCACAAACTGACGGAAGTTAGGTCACATGGGATACTGAATTCAGGCCTGAGTTGTGTCATAATGGTTCGCAAGTTTCACCTCGTAATATGAAGGATGCAGCAGCTGTTCAGTGCTCCTTAGGTTTTGAGTGACTCTTCATGTGATCTCGGTTTGTGACGAAATCCACCTGGTAATCTGCACACATTTTCCAAGTGACTGACTGACAAACACTGATGGGCTCATAATCAATGGGAGATCAGGTTTCAGTATCATTGGCTAGTATGAAGAGTCGCCAAGAGTGAGCGAAAACAGCAAACTCAAGTTATTTCGGGCCTAAAGGCTAACTGATATCAGTGAGGTAATAATAGGTAAAAAAATTAAAGGCTAACTAAAAGAAAACTTTAGAATAGCACAATGATAATGAGCATAATGAACAATAATGAGTTACCTTCTCAAGCTGCAAGTCAACATAACTTGCGTCAGCTTTACGTGTTTCTAAGTCATCAGCGTATTGTTTTACATCCTGAATTTATCAAGAAAGCGTACGGAGATGAAAGTGAATTATTATTATTTGCTTAACATAAATAGATAAAGAAATTGAATAAAAATATAAAACAGCGCTAGAACATGGACGAATTTCTGTCGACTGATTTTCAATACCTCGCGAATCATCCCCTTCCAGGCATTAGTGAAGAGCGCAGAATACGCAGTGTTCAGCTAAGAGGCTTATTTCAGCGATTTCATTTTCGGCTTTAGCTTTACAACAGCATGTATATCCGATTTTTGATGTGGTTGTGTTCTCCGAGTTGGATAGTTAATTTGCGAAGCTTTCATCACCCTACTAGGTGACATCTTCAGCGCACCCTTTAATTTGAATTGAAGTAAGCTTTTAGATTTCTCCACCAGTTTATTAATCATCTCTACCGGTGACCTTAGACGTGATTGGTTGTTTTTGTGTGTTTTCACACCTTCTGAGCTACTTGTAGTGGAAATGATTGTTTCTTTGACTTGAACTTTGACCATTTGTGCGTGTGTGAGGTTTCTTTCTTATCGGTTGATAAATTTTGTCAATCTCGATGTGTCTATTGATCGACGATTCACTGGAATGCCAAGTTTCTAAAAATTCTCTACGGATCAGAAACTTGGCGGGTCACAAAGAATATTTCCGACAGCCTGTTGCAGACCTTTATCAACAACTGTCTTCGCTGGCTACATACTGAAGATCAGATGGCCACCGGAAAGAACAAGAACCAACAAGAAACTATGGGAAGAAACAAAACAAGAACCAATCGCTCAACAAATATGCATGAGAAAGTGGAGATGGATTGGACACTCATCGAGGAGGCTGCAGGGTGACATCGCACGTCATGCCATAGCTCGAATGGAACCCGAAAGGGAAGTGGCGAGTGGGACGTCAGTGCAAGGGTGACATGGAGTGGATCGTGTGAAGAGGAGTTGAAACAGTATGGATTAACATGGCTGCAGGTGAAAAGTACATCAGAAGACAGAAGCAAGTGGAGGCGTGTAGTTGAAGCCCTATGTTCCATTAGGAACCCAAGGGAACAATAATAATAATAAAATGCGTGTGTATAGCCATTGAGCCAGATGTCAGTATTTCATCCAGGTCTATGATAAATACTGAATACACTGGATATTCAGACGATAACGTTAGGAATATATGACAACTGCGAATGGCGAATAGTATTCAGCTTTCAAAATCAGAGTGAGGAACTTTTTTAAAAATAGTAATTGTTGAGTTCTGTAAAACAATAGGTTCAGAGGATCCTTCTGTGTAAGTTAGGCTACCACATATACTTTCATTGCTTTGCTATCGGTATGAAACTCTACTGTACTCAGCATACGAAACAAGATTCAGATTTGAATAGCTTATCGGCTGACTGACATGTTTTACGGCTAACTTGATGCCAGTCAACCATCTTCTTATGTTATTGGCTTCAATAAACACATATAGAGTGACATGCAGCGATTTGAACCAATAAAAAAAATCAAAATATTTAGAGCGAACAATTGTGGTTTCAATAAATTCTTCCTTCTTCAGGCTCTACAATTATAAATCCATTAATTTGATTTAGACATACAATAGCCAACCAGCCAGTAAAGGCAAATTAGAATCATATCAGAAAGTGTATTGTGGAACAAGTATAAGTAAGATGGATGGGATGGAACAATAGTCAGATAGTTTTCTTTGAATATGCATGGTCAATGAGAACATGGGACAAGATGAGATGAAGTAATTTAATTTAATTTAATGATGTGTGTGTAAATATATAAATATAGTCAACAGAAATACAGGTTTCGAGAGTGTCTGTAATCAGGGTGTGTGAGACAATATGAAAATAAACCAAAGAATGGGGCGGACTAGACATAAGTTCAAGGTTGAATATAACGACAGTTAGAATGATTGTCAAATAATAACGATGACATGGTGTAAAATTACAACCACTATTGGTGAATGATTGTCAAATAATAATAATAATGAATATAATGAAGTGGAATGAACAGGATTTTGTAAATACGATAGCAAGTTAGAAAAGCACTACTTAAACCTAAGGTAATAAAATCATAAGAAAGGTCATGAAATCATAAAAGTCAAAAATGAACGATTGTCAATGAAACAGAAGAAATAGAAGAAGAAGAAGAAAAGAAAAGAAAATTGTGAAAGGAATTTATAGTGTTATAGTGTTACACCATATCATCGTTATTATTTTACAATCATTCTTACTGTTGTTATTTTCAACCTTGAACTTATGTCTAGACCGCCCCATTCGTTGGTTTATTTTCATTTTGTCTCACACACCCTGATTACACTCACTCTCGAAGCGTGTATTTTCTTTTGACTATATTAATATATATACACACACATCATTAAATTAAATTACTTCATCTCATCTTGTCACATGTTCTCATTGACCATGCATATTAAAAGGAAACTATCTGACTATTGTTCCATCCCATCTTACTTATACTTGTTCCACAATACACTTTCTGATATGATTCTAATTTGCCTTTAATGGCCGGCTATTGTATGCTTAAATTAATTAATGGATTTATAATTGTAGAGCCTGAAGAAGGAAGAATTTATTGAAACCACAATTGTTCGCTCTAAATATTTTGTTCTGAATAAATTATGGGAATATTCAATTTACAAAAAAAAATCAGATAGTGGTCGCAAGACACATTTAAACAACAAAACTAACCAAAAAGCAATCAATATTATTATTACCTCAACAGTTTCATAAACCTTTTTAAACTGGGATTGAACATTCGACAAGGTATTATTCAAATGATTTATTTGTTCTTGTAGCACTCCCATTGTATCTTGTAATTTCTTTAATAATTTCTTATTCTGCAATTTTAGGATGAAAAATATTTTTTTATGGAAAAAAAATATATGCAAAAAGGATAAATCACGTGAGTGCTATCATTGATGTGAATGAACACTTCAAGAAAAAACAAGAATAAAGATATTTATATGGTTGGTGGAAGATGTTCATGATTACTGAAAACAATCCCATAATGAAAAGAAACCTGGACTGGAGAATATCTTCACTATAACAGCTTTTGTCCCATAAGCTATAAACGTGGATTAGTGAGGACTTTGTATGACAGAACCAGGAAGCTATGTTCACCAAACAAGCTGGAAGAAGAAGAATTAGATTTCGTCGAGAAATCCCTGAGGGAAAATGGATACCCTAAGGGATTTATACAGAAGTATAGCAGAGAAAAAGATAAGAAAGAAAAACACCCAACTGTAGAAAAGGCGGAATTGCTTATTTGTCTCCCATTCAAAGAAGATGCAGTGTCACAAAAGATTGACAGAAGACCGAAAGGTGCAATAAATAGAAGCTCCCCATCTGCAGCAAAACTCATAACAGTATACAACACCACTCCTTCTATAAGCCACTCAAAACTGGATAAATACCGTGCTGATGTCATCTCCAACTGTGTTTATGAATTAACGTGCACTTGCGGGAGCAAGTACATTGGAAGGACAGAAAGAAGGGCTTCTATCCGGTTTTCTGGACATATTCCAAGAAACCTGTCCCTGAAAGGAAGCAAATATTCCCAGAGTGCAATTAACAGACATAGTGTTGATACCGGATATCTCGTAGAGATTTCTAAGTCCTTCAAAATATTAAATAGACAAAGGACAGCAAATTTACTACGATTTGCCGAAGCGATCGCAATCAAACGATTTAAACCAGACTTATACATACAGAAAGAGAGTGTGATCAACCTCTCACTGCCTTGGTAACTGAATTTTGATTTTGATTACATTAATTAGTCATCTAATTCAGTGATCTCAACTCACTGAACAAATCTTAATCTCATAAACTGTAACCGCCTTTGTTTTTGGAGTTGCCATGTGAACCTACAAGCTAACACTGTTTCTGTTAATCAGTTTTTCTGTTTTCTGTTTTACCCTTACCTCCTCTTTTCAACTTTGAAAGTGCATAAATTGATGATGATAACTTAAACTAAAAATTGTAATGCTTTCATTTTGGATGCGTCAATTTATCTCTTCTCTACTACCACTCAAACATTAAAGTACGTTATTATCATTTATATAACCATTGTCATTTCAGGTAGTCTGCGGCAGCTGATGAGAACCTGTGAAATCGAATAATGATATCACATTTTATACTGCGAATTTCGTCTTCCTTTCTTTATCGAAATCCCATAATAAAGTATGCAAACAAATCGTGAACTAAATCATGAGCTCAGTAGTAACGTCTATGACGGTGAGTTTGAATCTCATAAGGAGGGGGGAGACACCAGCCCTTCAAGATGCAGTGACACGTCTTGCCGAAGAGTACCAGTAGATACCAGTAGGCCTAGATCCACAACTTCCTGTCCAATGTCAAACATCGTATCGGGAGCATATATATATGACTAATTAACGGGAACACACCCTACTGATATTCACTGAAGCTATGGGTAGGTTGCAGTGAAGAATGAATATGTATGATAAAGGAAATTATGAAAGTGCATCAAAACGATAGGTAGGAAAGAATAAAATTTATGTCATGCGTTATTCTAGTTTACGCGGAATATATATAACTTCGTGTGCGACAGTGGTACAGCGGGTAGGACGCTCGTCGACCATACACATGGTTCGGGGTTCGATCCCCGGCCACGGACGCACTCCTTTACCTCGCTAAGCCAGAATCAATGCTGGTGAAGAGGAAAGGTTGGGCATCAGGCTAGCAACCCCATCCTGTAAAATAAACACTGCTACAGAAACTTCAAGCCACTAGCTTGAAGCCCTATGTTCCACTGGGGAAGGTGAAGGAAAAAAGAATATAACTTCATGTATGATTCTATAACTTTACGCTGTAATCATTCCTTCTTTTTATACATGAAGAAAGACAATAGTAAGTAAAGGCATTTATCACGATGGCTACATCAGGGTTTCCTTAGAAAGAATCATAACAATGAAAAGCTTGAAGGTGTAGGAACATGGTCAACGGACTTGAATTAAACTTATCAAACTGTTCCATTACTCTGACTTATCGGTGGTGTGATTGCCGCATGCTGATGTTGTATTTGTTTATTGGGCTGTAGTTGTGTCAAACTGAAGGATCACATACTATAAAAAAATCAATTATCCCATGTCTGTTGGCTCTTAACACCTCTTCAACACCTCTACAGTTACACCGTCTATTTCAGAGAATTTATAAATCAGTAAATTCCTGATTATTCTGAAACACGACACTTCTTTTTGAATTGATACATGACAATTGTATATTGTATATCACATTTATGGTTAAATTCTCGTTAAACTAATGCTAGGCCCACTACCTGTGGAATAATGATCGATGCCGTGTGAATCCGAAGGAAGTGTTCATTCCATCCTATCTATCTAAGTGTTTCAATGTTACTGTTATAGTAGGAATTCTGTAGTTATAAGATTTGATAGTGTGGAAAATTCCCATATTACGAATCAAAAAAGCCAATCTGAACAAAGAATATTCTTTTCAATAATTTCTCTACTTCAGGTTCTTACAATTATAAAATATAATATTTGTTGTCGTTACAACAATGGCCAGTTATGCGGCGGATACAGTTATAACGTAGAATAACAGATTAATGGTTATGGGGTGTCAAAATAAATAGTCGTATTTGTGTGACAAACGTGCTAGTTGGCTGAATTTGATTACAAAATATTGTAAAATGGGAGACAACGATGGTGGTGACTAATCATAATAGATTTGTAGAGTGTGGGGTAGGAAAATTGACAAGTCAGTTCAAGGTTATAAAAGGCGTCAGGTGAGTGAGTGGCTAGTACAAAGTGGTCTGTGTTAAACAGGAGATAGTAAGACTGCAATGACAGGTTCATAATGAAACAGCGAATATGTGAAATGAAACAGGTGGAGGCATATATTGAGAAAAGAGATGATATCACTAATAATAAGTCCGGATAGTATAAATGAAAAATTCGATAGTACTGAGAGAGTGTGTGCATGATAGGCATAAATTATGACGAATAATAATAATTGTAATGATAATATTTGTAATAATAAGCAAAGGGAAAAAAGCCAAGAGGGTTAAGGGGAAGGAGCACTCTTGGTGAGAAGAAGAATCATCAATCCAAGTTAGGCCACAGTACGAACAGCGTCTGGACGTGTTCTTTTTGGATACAGCGTTCCGGTTTAGTCGATCTTATTGCAACAGCTTCAGCTATGTGTAGAAGACGTAAGCGAACTGTACGTGATAACGACTTCGGAATTCGGTATATAACCCTGAAAGCTGTGTTGACATCGATATGATGTCCAGTATTGACCAAGTGTGACAGGATCGAGCTTTTTATGCACTTAATTTCCCCCCTGCTGAACCAAGCTGGTAAATGTTCTCGAACCCGTAGACGAACCTGCCTAACCGTGCGCCCTATATACCTTGAACCACAGGAACAGTTGAAATGGTATATGCATGAAGAAGAGCTAAGCTTAGGTAAGACATCTTTGAGTTGCTGGGTGAACATTGGACGGCTACTGAAGGATAGACACAGACGTGCAGAGTAGAAAGTTTTCTTGATCGCCCTCGTTAAAAGTTGCGATACAATCTCCGCAGGAGTATCTCCCTTGAATGTGACTTGTCAATTTTCCTACCCCACACCCTACAAATCTATTATGATTAATCACCAACATTGTCTCCCGTTTTACAATATTTTGTAATCGAATTCAGCCAAATGTCACGTTTGTCACACAAATACGACTATTTATTTTGACACCCCATAACTACTAATCTGTTATTCTACGTTAAAAAAATGTATCTGCCGCATAACTGGCTGTCACTATTGTAACGACAACAAGTATTATATTTTATAATTGTAAGAACCTGAATAGGGGAAATTATTGAAAAGAATATTCTTCGTTCAGATTGACTTTTAATTCTGTAGTTTGGACAAATGAAAAATTCTCGGTAAGACCTGTAAGCTATCCAAAATAATATAATATCGGTCAGACACACTTGTTTCACTCACATCAGAAGGATACGGCATATGCGGTGATGTCCCACAATCTACATATACCTAAACAACAGAATGAAAAGAAATTAAACAAAATTAAACGCCTTTTATGTGTGTTTAAATTTATACTACTTAAAAGCAAATATCAGTAGCTAAATGTGTTTGCCGCAAAAAAACAGTAGCTGAAAAAAGAAATCACTGCAACGAAACACACAAAAAGCCAGTTAAAACTAGATGTAAATAAAGACAAACATATCGCTAATCATCACTTAGAGAAGAGGAACAAGAATAAATAAATGAAAGCACAAATTACTCAGTCATTAGTGATGCTTCTTCACCAAAAAGTACCTGTAAATGATTATTGAAAAATAAATAATTAATCAAGTTAATTTCAACTCGTTAATTTTTGCAAAACCTCTTATTGATCAATACACACCAAAAGAGAAAAACTAATGTGTGAATTAAAATTTAAAAACGTGGAGGACTCTTGGTGAATATAATAGAAATCTGCCATTTTTGAGCACACTTTAATGATTAAACGCTTTGCAGTAACACAGGTGGTCCAGATTTTGATTTCCGGCCGACGAAAACATCTGAAACTCGCCCCGTTTACCAGTCGACAGTAAGATTAGGAAAAGGTGAAATTTGGGAGCATGTGGTGACTCAACTCATCCTGTAAGAGGGTAACACTATTGCCACTGATGTTTCAAAATCTTGGGGATGGAATGTTCTACTCGGAAAACAGAGAAGGGGAAAAATTATATTTATAAAACACAAAATAATCGAGCAAAGAATATTCTTTTCGATAAATTCCTTTTCCGACTCTACAGTTATGTATATATATGTTTATACACATAGAATATTTTAAATTAGTAGTTAATAACAATATTAGTGCCTTAGAAATGCGGTAAAAAGAGCATTCCCTGCTGCTGAATTACGCTGAATCTTTAAAGCCACTCCTCTTCTGCGTTCGGGAATAAAAGACAAACTGCCTGCCTAATTTCGCCTCCTCCATGTGTATCTACCAATTTAACTGCTCCTGTGGAGTGAGCCAGTTACATAGGCCGTACAATTAGGCGTGTTTCGCCTCAAATTTTTTTTAACATCACCCTGCGTGATTAAGCAAAAGACAAACAAAATCTATTCGCAGCTCTATTCTGTCTCATCTTGTGGAGACAGAACACATGATTGACGTTAATCATGCTTTCAGGGTCATTTACCGCATACCTACGAATCTCAATTTCGCTTTAAGAGTTCGACTTCTAAATATTGCTGAGGCTGTGGGGATCCACATTAACAAGCCTTATTTATGCATCCAAAAGAAGTTAGTGTGAACATTATCACTACCTTGGCCATCCAGGTGTGAATGATCATGAATTTTTGTGGAATTTCCCTACTTTTAGTTGATATTCTATTCGCTATTATATCTTTATTATTATTATAATTTAAGCATCTTTAATGAACTGTAATTGCATTGCGTTCTTACTTTACAAATCGATATTATTTAAAAAAACGCTAATATTGTTATTAACTACTAATCTAGAATATTCTATGTATATAAACATGCATATATATAATTGAAGAGCCTGGAAGAGGAATTTATCGAAAAGAATATTCTTTGCTCAGTTATTTTGTGTTTTATAGATTTCTGAATGAAAATTATATTTTCTGAAAGCACATTTTCAACTCATTATGGTTTTAAATAAAGATATGTTCATTCATTAGCCACTGGCTTGACCTTATCTTGGGACTTATCAATTTATTTGCAGGCAAACACATGGCTGATTGCATCAAACGCTCCATTTCATTGTACAAATCCTCTTCTACACCCTTATTTGGCTCCTGTTTTCACTTAGACATAATGCTTATTATTCATCACACTGTGTTTTGTCGGCCGCAATCACAACCGCCACCCCCCTAGAGCCTGTTTGATCCTATAAGTGATAAATCTTCACAAAAATTCTAAAATAAAAGAAGCATATAGGTTTCCAGGCCGTAGGTGTTACGAACTTCCTGGAATAATTTGAGCACCGAGTCAGATTGATTCATTATATTATGAAATATGAACTTGAAAACAATCAGGAAGTATTAACTAAATCTTTATTATCAATAGATGAAGTTATAAAATGCTTAAAACTTTGTTTGGAATCTACATATTTGACCTTTAGAGACAAACTATGCTGTCAAACAAATGGAGTTGCAATGTGTTCACCAGCATCTCCAATTGTTGCAAACCTATATATGAAAGCCCTAGAAAAGAAGGCATTGGCAAGTTTTAGTTGTCATCCTAGAATTTGGTACAGGTATGTAGATGACACATTTATCATCATAAAGAAAGCTGAAAAAGAAAACTTTCTAACAGAAATTAACTTTATCTCAGAATATATTGAGTTTACTAATGAAATAGAATCGGTTAAGGGAACTCTAAACTTTCTTGATTGTCTTGTTAAGAGACAAACTGACGAAAAACTAAAGTTTACCGTATACAGAAAACCGATACATTCCAACAAGTATTTGAATTTTCAATCAGATCATCCAATAGGAATGAAAGTTTCGGTAGCTTTAATTCTCGTTAACAGAGCTAGAAACATTATAACAGATAATTACGATATGGAGAACGAGATATCCAACATAAAACAGATTTTGATTGGAAATGGTTATCCTGAAAAGCTACTAGATAATATTATCAATAGAAAGGAACATAAGGGAAAACAAAAAATTGAAAAATCCTGGCTATCCACGACAGCCATTCCATATCGAAAGGACACTGCTGAACAACTTCAAAAACTAATTGCCTCATATAATATTAAAGTCTATGTCAAACCTCCTAATTTTCTGGAGAAAGCGTTAGTGTAGGTCAAAGATATAGTTCCCAGAATGTCACAAAGTAATTGTGTCTACAAGATAAAGTGTTCCGAATGTGATGCATGCTATATAGGGGCAGGTGAAGGTCAGAGTGAATGAACATAGACTATGCACGAAACGTCCACCTAGAAATGAAGTAGAACTAAAAAGTCTAGAAAAAAGATCGGCTATAGCAATGCATGCGATAGACAGCGGACATAAGATTCATTTCGGCAATGTCGAAATTCTTGGAAGAGGATTTCGTTCACATAAAGAAAGATTGCCTTGTGAAGCCTTGCGCATCTTAACCACATCGAATGCAGTGAATAGGAAAGAAGGGATAGACTTATCACCTCTGTATGGCAAACTCTTATGAAGCAAGACAGATGAAAAAACAATAAACACTCTATGAGCCTCCATGACCTTATAAAACATGTAGTATCATGTTTATCACATGTGAATTCACGTAATTTCCACACGACAAATAACATACATACACACACACTCAAACAAAGCTAATCTGTACAAATCAAGTATAGAAGAGTGAACACAACAACAACTTGACATTAGTCATTACAAATATATGTGATGACTGCTTACATAATTTCTATTGGTAAAAATGTCCATGGACAAATGACCTTCAAATAAACTGACTTCAATTTATGTAAAACGTTTGACTATATATTTTGATGATTAATAAAAATCCGAATAAATCTGCTGAAGAAGCTGTGGCTTACACAGCGAAACGTTCAGAAAACAGATCTTGTTTTGATTTTCTTAACAGGCTGGGATTAATTTAAATAATTTATAATAAAAGAAGCATAGTTATGCAATAGGAAATAGGTGAAAGGTATGTGTGTGCACAGTCTACATACAGTTTTGCGTATATGTTTCTCTACCTTTTAATGTGCATCTGTGTGTTTAAGTGAATGCGGAAGGCACCGTTGACGAGCAGCAGCAGCAGCGAAAATTAGCTAAAGGTGCATGAGTCAGCGTGGGTTTTAAACAATATTTAAAAACAGCCAAAAAAAAGGGGAAACGCATACAGCTGACAGCATTAGGAGACAAAGATCGAGTGAGCACACATACACACACTCACACATACTCAAACAAATACACACAACTACTGGAACAAACGCCAATTAATTAATTCATTAATTACCTTCTCTCTTTCTTTGGCTAGTTCTGATACAATAGCCTCTAAGCTATAAATCTTTTCATACAATTCTGGTGGTACACCCAAACCGTCTAATTCATTACGGTCAGCTTTTTGTTTCATCAGTGTCTATAGTAAGGAATAAATAAATTGTATGTATATAGGCGGATAGAGAGAGAGTAATTTCTAAAAGAAATATAGACATCCATCCACACTCATGATGCTTCTAGCTGTCCTTATTGTGTGACTGACAATCACTGTACATATGGTGGGAGTTACGTTTATCTTTTAGTACCTATGTAGGTTTTCTATAGTTTGGTTTGTAAGGATTAGTTATGTTTTACGTGTTGATCACGGACTGATATCAGTTAGAGAACCATTGAAAACCAGGGAGTACTGGACAGCTGCTGTTTCATCCTAGTTTGGGAATCATCGGCAGTACGCACCTGGTTTTCAATGGTTCTTTAACTGATATCAGTCCGTGATCAACTCGTAAAACCTATGTAGGTTGCTGGTGGAGAGACATAGGGAGACTGGGGTGGAAAAGGTGGAAAATAGTGCAGACAACAAAACCCAGAATGATATTTCTTATTGAATTTATTTTCTGATCAACACCTTACCCTAAACCCCTCCAAATGCCAAACAGTCAGTTTCACCTTTAGGCATAAATCCGACCTAAACAAACTGGTGATTAGCACTCACGAGGTGTGCAACACAGACAGCACTGAAATATAGACACCAAATCGGAAATTAAATACCTAGGCGTCATTCTATCTGCTGGTCGTCTCATATCTTAGCGATTTCTAAGAAAATATTCCGTCTTACCTTCTACATCAAGAAGTTAAAACATTCTGGTATAACTCCCCCCCAACCCTTACTCCTACAATTCGTTAACTCTCGCATTCTGCCTATTATTCTCTCCCTATTGTTCCCTCTTAGTTTTTCCCGGACTACTGAAGAAAGACTATATCTTATTACGCACGTTGCTGGCAGGGTAAGCAACGTGCCATTTAACCAGCTTGTTAATATTCTGGTCGACAGGCACATGGACTCATGTGAAAAATGGGCCAAATCCATTTTATCTAACTCACACCACCCTCTCCACTCAAAACTCTCCCCTTGTATCTCATCAGGTAAAACCAGAAGCCTATATACAAAACTATATACTCACACCAGCAATCAAGTACAAAAACTCAACCATACCCTACTTAGCTCGTGTTCTGTGCGATAAATAAAGCATTAGGCGTGACACCTATAACTTATTAAATAGTCAGTAGAACAACTGGACCTCGTCTTTCCAACTCATATCATTTATAGGTACAACATTTTCTTTCTTTCTTTTCCTATTCTCTCTCTCTCTTTTTATCTTTGTTCCGTTATGTGCTGCTTTGTTTCTTTCTCTTGATTACGCCAGTAAATATGACAGCACCTACTTTTCTAACACCTTCAAACACTCTGTTCAACTTTGGCTTTGCTACTGACATGCCAATATGTTGTTGTCATAATGAAATGAGAGTTCCTTAGTCTATGTAGAATTTTATTTATTGATAATGTACTAACTGGATGCAATACTGTAGTGAAAATGCTGAGAATTCCATTCTGTATCACAAGTACTGTTTTGGAATAAAGCAAATTATTATTATTATTAATTTCCTTTCTCCGTCTGTCAAATCTTTTCAAATAGTTAATAAACATCTGAAAGACAGAATTATATACGGAGAGATTTCTATCTCTATCTAGACTGTCGATGAATTTGCTTGCAAGTGGTGGTTTTATTTATTAGGCTCGCTGACGTCTGCAAGTAAAGTTAACCAGTCAACTAGGTACAGGAATATACACACAGAGCGACTAGAGAGACAAAAGTGACCAGATTAAGGCATAGCATAAATCTAGAGAGTCAGTGGCTGTTTGGTTTGAGTTAGTCTCGTAAAGAGGCGTAGACAGCCTGGCTAGGTTCCTCAACACTCTAAAAAGCGGTTTCTAAAGACTGCTAGTCAGATCACCAAAATCCACAGCAGTACCTAGGTCCTGATGGAGTATCAAGCATTTTACTTCAAAATTATATATTACTATTGTTCCCTTGGGTTCCTAGTGGAACATAGGGCTTCCAATACACGTCGCCACTTGTTTCTGTTTTCTGCTGTACTTTTCACTTGCATCCATGATAATCCATACTGTTTCAACTCCTCTTCACACAATCTCCTCCATGTCACCCTTGCACCGACGTCCCACTCACCGCTTCCCTTTCGGGTTCCACTCCAGCACTGGCCTGACGCGCGATGTCACCCAACCGCCTCCTCAGCCAGTGTTCAATCCATCTCCACCTACTCCTGCATATTTATTGAGCGATTGCTTCTTGTCTCGTTTCTTCACATAATTTCTTGTTGGTTCTTGTTCTTTCCGGCCATCTGATTGATCTTCAGTATAGAGCCAGCGAAGACAGTTGATGTTGATAAATGTCTGCAACAGGCTGTTGGAAATATTCTTTGTGACCCGCCGCCAACAAGTTTCTGACCCATCCGTATACAAGAACTGACTGACTGACTGACTTGACGTTTGTTTGTATTGAAAATCCGAATGATTTTGTTGTTGATGCAGGCTGAGTTGAGTGACAGCGGAAGATTTCCAGATTGGTGTCAGGTTGATGAATGTGTTTCTCGCCTTTCCGATTCTCGATTTGACATCGTCGTCCGTTCCTCGTGTAGTTGAGACAATGCTCCCTCCCTAGATAAGTGAATGAAGTAACCTCTTTCATCAAATCCCTCCCGTTGATGGTGATTGGCGCTGGATGTTGCTGCTGCTGTCGTTGTTGTTGTTGTTGTTGGTTGTTTATTTTCATAACCTCCGTCTTGTCTATGTTCACCTGGAGTCCTGTCTTCTCTGGCTGCTTCTTCCACCAGTTTGTTGGTCGGTTTTCGCTTGTAAGTCTTCGATTTTGTGTGACATCAAACACAAATCATCCACGCGCGAAATCCAGGTGTTCTAGGTTCTTCACGTCGGTGGTCCAGGATATGCCTGTCTTCTCGTTTCCGAGCACTGTCTGACGAATAATCCAGTCCACCAACTCGCCTAGATTACTAGCTCACTAGTTTTCTAGCCGGTCCCTAGCCCGGATAAAGAGAGAGGGTTGGAGCGTGGTGCTAGCAACTCCACCCTCAAAACTTAAACAAATTGCTACAGGAACTTCAACGGATCAAGTTTATATTTAAGCCAGTCACCTACATGTATCCGTCCGTTTCTGAAAACTACGATTAAACTCCTCTTTTTTACCCTGAAACCCTCTGTAGAATCTTTCAGTGACCCAGAGCAGTGTGCTTATAAATCCAGTTGAAGCACTTTACATTCTGTCATTGTGATGCTCATTGATACTGTTCTGGGTCTAGGTGTATATTTTGCTCAATCCTCTTTTTTAGACAATAGTGCTGCTTTTTTATTCTGTTTTAAACGGCACTTTCACTAAGCAAGCTAACTTCAGCAGGGAGGGACTGAGCCCTAAGTCCAATAGTGGTTGTCCTCCTTTAATTCAGGTAAGAAACACCATACCGTTTTAAAGGCGGAGCGCTCCACTTCTTTGCTTACGGAAGTTGGCATGCCTCAACGTGCTATATATTTTCCCCACCGCATCTTTATTTCTTTCTGCAAGACCTATTGAACTATTCTAAAGCTTATTTCATTAAACAGTGCTGATGGTCTAACGATTCTTTTCCCGGTCGTTTATGCCTAGTTCTGCATATTTTCTTATCTGAGGTTAACCATTGGTCCTACTCAGATGGACTTGAATGGATCCATTCAGTCTCATGTAAGTACACACATAGATAAACACACTGGAAGTGAAGGAAGAATTATGCCTCTACAATCCATGCCAAGTAATCCACAATGGGAAACTTACGGAATCCTTCGAATTGAGGACAGGAGTAAGACAAGTTGGCTGGCTGCCTACTATCGCCAGTGATTTTCCTGATTGAAGTAGACTGGATAATGCGACAGAGAGTGGCGGGCAATGAGGAAACAGGCATAAAATGGACTCACAAAAAAAGAGACTTGGAGGATCTGGACTTCGCCGATGATATATGTCTGATTTCCCACAAACTGGAAGATATACAAGCGATAAACAACAAGTTGGCAGAAGATGCATCCAGAGAAGATAGGAAGGACTTCAGGTGAACATAGAGAAAACAGAGGTGATGAAGATTCCTGGCCAACACCACCAACAGCAACAACAACAACAGGCAACGATCAGCCAGCATAAATGGGAGGAACCTGAAAGAAACAACCTCTTATACTTACCTGACAAGCATCGTTTCAACTACATGCAAACGGAACTGACGAGAATATTAAAGTTACGAGGATCGTAAAAGCAAGACAAGCTTTCACTACTCTCAAGTCTGTGTGCAGGAGGTCAACAGCACTCAGCATCAAAATGAAAATAAGATCCGGATTTTCAACTCCAATGTGAAGTCAGTCAATGCTACTTACTATACGGATCAGAGACTTGCACTGCGCGTCATAAAGAGCATCTCAAACAAACTACAGACCTTCATTAACAGCTAGCTGTCTTCGCTCAATACCACTCAAGATCAGATGGCCGGCCAGCCAGAAAAGATCACCAACAGAGAGGCATCTCTGGCAATGAGCGAACCAACACAGCAGGAACCAACCGATTGTGAAACAGATAGGCAGGAAGAAATGCAGTTGGTGGATTGGCTGGCCATACTCTGAGGAAACAAGCCATCAAGTGAGTGACATCACTAGACAAGCCATTGCTCGAGTGGAACCCGACCGAAAGGGAAGCGGCGGCGAGTTGGTCGTCAGTGCGAGGGTGAGGGTGACTTGGAGGAGGTGATGTGAAGAGGAGATGAAAGCGTGTGTGTGGGCAGACTTGGAGCCAGGTGAGGACACTAGCAGAGAACCGAACGCAATGGAGACGCACGGCTGAATCACTATGTTCCTCTAGGAATTAAAGGAAACAATAATAATAATAATCAACGACAATTCGGAATACATAAGGAACTGTAACAGTGAATTTTGAGCTGTGTTTCATCACCGAAATACGATTACTAGCGTAGTCCAGTAAATAATACGATAATCAAGCCGCACAAGCTTGAAGCTACTTCTGACTAACTGTTTGG